ATATATATATATATATATATATATATATATTAATGATAAAATTGTCTTTTTCAATAGTCTCATATATTAGCAAAGTTACATTTTAAAAAAAATGCATCTATTTAAACATTTAATCATTAGTGTTTCTTTCTTTAGTAAAATATTTTTTGTATTTTTTTTAAGGGGATAATATAGTATATATAGTATATATATAGTATAGTATGATTGATTGTGCGTTAGAAAAGATAAGAACAATAAAAAAAAGATATAGAGAATGTTAGTTTTGTTGTATTAATTGTTTTTTTACTATTAATTGTTATCCTTCTTAAATTTAACAACAACCACTTGAAGAACTGGTTAAACTTTGACCATTTAAATTAACATTACCTTTATCATTTTTATTTGAATTATTGTTATTATTACCATTACTATCATCAGTTAATTTTTGTTTAGCCATACTTTCTTTAATTTGTTTTGCCATTGTTAAAAATGCTTCTTCGACATTAGTTGAATCTAGTGCACTTGTCTCTAAAAATGGCATATTATTTGCGTCAGCAAATTCTTTTGCAATATCAAATTCAACAATTCTTTTATCAGTTAAATCACATTTATTACCAACTAATAATTTTAAAACTGTAGAAGTTGCATAACGATCAATTTCTTGTAACCACATTTTAACACCATTAAATGATTCTTGATCTGTAATATCATAAACAATAATAATACCATGAGATCCACGATAATATGATGAGGTAATTGTTCTAAAACGTTCTTGACCTGCTGTATCCCAAATTTGTAATTTAACAGTTTTACCTTCTAATTCAACTGTTTTAATTTTAAAATCAACACCAATAGTTGAAATATAATCATTTGAATATGTATCATCAGAAAATCTTAACAATAAACATGATTTACCAACACCGGAATTACCGATTAATAATAATTTAAATAAATAATCGTATTCACTATTCATTTTGTGTGTGTTTTTAAAACTTCTTTTTAACTGTAGTATAACTCTTATTCAAGTGTATAAAACTATCTTAACTGTGGTAAACTATCTGTGTATATATATATATATATATATGTATCTTTATTTTACAATGGTCCCTATATATGTATATATTGACACCTCCACCTTTCTCTCTCTATCTCTCATTGTTCAGTGTGTGTTTTTTTCCTGTTTTGTTACCTTTCCAAGTTGTTTTTTTGTTGTTTTTTTTTGTTTTGTAAAAAAATTGGAAAAAGGAGATTATTGCGTCGTGTGGAGTGATGGCTGGAACACAGTCACGTGACTGTGGCCGTACACTATGATGTTCGCGTTTAACGTGTTTTTTAAACCAATTTTTGGTGTATTTTCGGGTTATTTCCTATTTGGGCAATACCATAACATATATAATATATATAGCATACAAATGAATACGATTCAACTGATATCTGTAAAATTATATATATATATTATAGTACTTAATTGCTTATAAGATACAGATAGAGAGACAGAGTATGTAGGATATAGCAATTTGCAAAAAGAACCATGTTCTTTTTAAATGATTGCAATAGAATATGTACTATATAACTGCACTTTTTTGTAAATTTTGTTCTCTTTCACTCTTCGCTTTGTGTGTAAGAAGACAAAACAAAACAACGAAAAATTTATTTATTTTAGTTTGTTTTTCTCTCATAGTGAAGCGAAAAGGGAAGAAAATATATAGAGAAAGTAAATAATACCTAACTTCCTTATTTTATTTTATTTTTTGGGTTTAATTATTATTTACTTTCTCGAAACGCCTCACGAATTAAATAATAAACAGTCCGTATATACCTAGTTTGTAATATTATTACTAATTTTGATATATACCAATCCTTAATTTTTTTAATATTTTTAACTGTTGATTATTTATTTTGATTATACTCTCTTTCTCTCTTTTTTATTAAGGTAAGGTTAGATATATATATATATATCAATTAAAAATAAAATAAACAAAAAATGAGAGAAATTATTCATATATCTGCAGGTCAATGTGGTAATCAAATTGGTGCTGCTTTTTGGGAAACTATTTGTGGAGAACATGGTTTAGATAATAATGGTAATTATCATGGTACATCCCATCTTCAAAGAGATAGATTAGGTGTTTATTTTAATGAAGCTTCATCAGGTAAGTGGGTTCCAAGATCTATTAATGTTGATTTAGAACCTGGTACTATTGATGCCGTACGTAATTCGAATATTGGTAATTTATTTAGACCTGATAATTATATTTATGGTCAATCTTCTGCTGGGAATGTTTGGGCAAAAGGTCATTATACTGAAGGTGCAGAATTAGTTGATACTGTAATGGATGTAATTAGAAGAGAAGCTGAAGGTTGTGATTCTTTACAAGGTTTTCAAATTACTCATTCTTTAGGTGGTGGTACAGGTTCAGGTATGGGTACTTTATTAATTTCAAGAATAAGAGAAGAATTTCCGGATAGAATGATGGCAACATTTTCTGTTTTACCATCACCAAAAACTTCAGATACCGTTGTTGAACCTTATAATGCAACCTTATCCGTACATCAATTAATTGATCATTCTGATGAAACATTTTGTATTGATAATGAAGCTTTATATAATATTTGCCAAAGAACTTTAAAATTAAATCAACCATCTTATGGTGATTTAAATAATTTAGTTTCAAGTGTTATGTCAGGTGTTACAACATCTTTACGTTTCCCAGGTCAATTAAATTCAGATTTAAGAAAATTAGCTGTAAATTTAGTTCCTTTCCCAAGATTACATTTCTTCATGGTTGGTTATGCTCCTTTAACTGCAATTGGATCTCAATCATTTAGATCTTTAACTGTACCTGAATTAACTCAACAAATGTTTGATTCAAAAAATATGATGGCTGCTTCAGATCCAAGACAAGGTAGATATTTAACTGTAGCTGCTTTCTTTAGAGGTAATGTTTCAGTTAAAGAAGTTGAAGATGAAATGCATAAAGTTCAAACAAGAAATTCTGATTATTTTGTTGAATGGATTCCAAATAATGTTCAAACTGCTGTTTGTTCTGTTGCTCCACAAGGTTTAGATATGGCTGCTACATTTATTGGTAATTCAACTTCAATTCAAGAATTATTTAAAAGAGTTGGTAATCAATTTACTGCAATGTTCAAAAGAAAGGCTTTCTTACATTGGTATACTAGTGAAGGTATGGATGAAATGGAATTCACTGAAGCTGAATCAAATATGAATGATTTAGTCAATGAATATCAACAATATCAAGACGCTACAGTTGAAGAAGATGGAGATATTGAATACGAACAAGAAGAACAACCAATTCCTGAAAGTTTTGAATAATTGTAATCACACTCATCTATATTATTAAAAAACAAAAATCCAACCCCTTTCCTTCTCTTTGTCTTTTTTCATTAACAATAATACAAAGAGTAATAATGTAAAATAACTACTACTACTAAAAAAAAAATATATGAATTGTTTGCAATAATGAGAGAGTACCAATTATAACTCTTTCCCTCCCTATTTAAAATACCCTCTCTTGCCCTCCCATCTATATTATTTGTATCACAACGTCTATTATCAATAAGTATATGTTCATTCATGTATAGTATAATATAATATAATATAATATATATCAAAATATATTGCGATCGTGAGAAGTGATTGTGTGGGGTGGTCTGTCCAATTATTAACTGTGTGTGTTACTTTTAGTTTATTGGAAAAATCCGATGAAAAATGCGCGCGAGACGTGCATAATTTAGACGCACAATCTACAAATAACGGTTCTTTTCGACACTTTTTAGGATATACAATATAATATATATAAAATTTTTCCATTAATATGATTTAATGGTAACTTGAGTTCTATAGTAGGCATTTGTTTATTGTGATTATTGTTTAGTTCTTCGGTTAGATAATTATATATATATATTGTATTGAAGTTGAACTGTTAAATAGGACTAGGATTTGTTTTTACATTAAGGATACCCTTTTTTTTTTTTGGCTGAACTGATTTCTAACACTACTTTGAAGATACATATGCATAACCAGTCAGCTTAATAAGTCATATTCTGTACATATTACTACTACCTTTTTTTTGGATCAAATACTACCCATTTTATTTATATATATATATCATCGTCATTATAACAAACCAAATATGTTGAGGACAATAGTGAAACCTAGTTGTCATTCGGCAACGATTACTAATAGGTTAATTCATTCACAATATATTCAAATTAGAAACATTACAACAAAAAATTCTGTCCTTAGGGATAATATGTCAATTATTTCGGATACAAGAACTTCGACGATTCAACCACCAGATACAGTATTTCAGCAATCATTTCTTCGATCAAATTTTTTAAATAAAAATAAAAATCGTCCACAGGATAATATTAGTGCAGAATTTAAATTATTTACTGGAACACAAAATAGTGTATCGTTGACTATGGCTGATAAGAGAGATGTTATGAGTCTTTGGTCTTTATTAGAAGCTTGTTTACAATCAAATTATACTGAAAGATCATTCTCTATATTAAAATCATTATATGAAATCAAATCACATAGAAAGACTTTTATTGATGATTATAACTATTATTTTAATCATATTGCTAAAGATTTTAAAAATGTTAAATTGATGAGTGATAAATTACAAAAAGATTTAACTGTGCATTTTGTAGATATTCAACCAAACGATAAGACTGTAGCAATTTTAATTCATCAAACTCTTAAATTGGCTAGAAAAAATAATGATATTATGAATAATTCAACACGACAAAATTTAGAATTATTCTTTTCAATGAGTTCAAGTGGGTTTAAGAAAATTTGTTCAAATATAGACATTTTAACTTTAGATGATTATAAGACATTACATTTAGATTTGGATATGATTAGAGATTACCAGATTCCAACTAATATTAGAGATCTTGTCGCTAGAAAAAATATAACTATGAAAAATGTTAGTTCAGAAGATGTTAAGAAGATAGAAAAAGAACATAATGACAAAAACGATCATAACGATATAGTTGTGAATAGTACTAATCTGGTAACTGATTCTGTCACTTCTAAGGCTTCTGAACCCCCTATGAAATTAGATGAAGATGTTAAAACTGTAGAAAAGGATGCAACTAAATTAATGAATGTTGATACTCTTGGTATGAGAGTCATTAAACATACCTTATTCGGTTTATCATTAAATGAAGAACAAAAAGAGAAAATTGCTAAATTTAATTTCGAAGCACCTGACAATGTACTTGATGTAAATGATAAAAGAACTGTTAATTTTTATGAAATGTATAAAAATTTAAAGACTGACGAAGAAAAAGAAATGTTTGAAACTACCTTGGAAGAATTCAATCAAAATAGACAACAAACTTTGGAAGTTAGAGCTACTGATGCAGCTAAAGAACGTTGGAGACATGATTTTGAAGAAGCTAAGGCAAGAGGTGATTTATCCATACAGAAATCGTTGAATTCAAAACTTTGGAAATGGTATACAGAAATGTTGCCATTATTAAAAAAAGAAATTGAAGACTGTAAAAGATATTTAAATAAAGAAACTCTTCAAAAATCAGCAACAAATAGGACAGATTATGCTCCTTATTTAACATTAGTAGATCCAGAAAAAATGTGTGTCATTGTTATTCTTGAATTATTAAAGCTTAATTCTACCGGTGGTATCTCAGAAGGAATGAGAACAGCAAGAGCAGTTATATCAGCAGGGAAATCGATAGAAATGGAATTCAGATCTGAACAACTTTTAAAGAATGAATCCTACCTATTGAAGGATATAAATAAGAAATCTAATGAGTTTAAACAATATGTTCGTAACGCCAAAAAATCATTAAGATCATTGAAATTAGATGAATCAAAAATTATATGGCCTCAACAAATTCGAGCAAAAGTGGGTTCGGTATTGATTTCAATGTTAATTAAAGTAGCTAGAGTACCGGTTGAAGGTAGAGATCCAATTAGTGGTGAAAGGGTATTTGGTGATGCTCCAGCATTCTCGCATAGTTATCAATATCATAATGGTGTCAAATTAGGTGTTATTAGAATACATCCCGCATTAATTCATCAACTAAATGGTGAAAGATTAATGGCATCAGTTCAACCACAATTATTACCAATGTTAGTCAAACCACGTCCATGGGTAAACTGGAAATCAGGTGGTTATTATTACTCTCAATCTAGCTTAATAAGAACCAAGGATTCGCCTGAGCAAATGGCATATATCGAGGCAGCTTCAAAATCGAATGCTATCGATAAAGTCTATGATGGTTTGAATGTCCTAGGTGAAACATCATGGACAGTCAATCAAAGAATATTTGATGTTGTTTCCAAAGTTTGGAATAATGGCAAACCATTTTTAGAAATCCCAGGTGTACAAATAACTCCAAACTATTTACCTCAACCTGCACCAGACGCTGATCCATCTGTAGTCAATAGTTGGAAACAAAAAAATAGGGAAATAGCCAATGAATTTGCAGCCAATAGATCTATGAGATGTGATATGAATTATAAATTAGAGATTGCTAGGGCATTCTTAGGTGAAAAATTCTATTTCCCTCATAATATGGACTTCCGTGGTCGTGCATATCCATTATCACCACATTTTAATCATTTAGGTAATGATATGAGTAGAAGTTTGTTAATATTCTGGAAGGGTAAGATGTTAGGGAAAGACGGACTACGTTGGTTGAAGGTGCACTTAGCAAATTTGTATGGTGTTAATAAGATTCCAATTGAAGGTCGTGTACAGTTTGTCGAAGATCATATGGATGAAATTAGAGATGCCGTTGAAAATCCTTTGAATGGTAAGTTTAAATGGTGGCAAACCGCTGATAAACCATGGCAAACATTAGCTACTTGTATTGAATTAGTAGAAGCTTTGAAACTCGAAAACCCAGAAGAATTCATTTCTCACCAACCGGTTCATCAAGATGGTACTTGTAATGGTTTACAACATTATGCCGCTCTTGGTGGTGACATGGTTGGTGCTTCTCAAGTTAATTTAATTCCAGATTCAAAACCAAATGACGTTTATATGCATGTCGCCAATATTGTCAGAGCAAACTTACAAAAGAAGGTAGAAGCTAATCCAGATGATGAGATTGCAAAATTTTTCATTGAGAAATTGAATAGAAAAATTGTCAAGCAAACCGTTATGACACATGTGTATGGTGTTACCCTAATTGGTGCTACTCTACAGATTGATAAACAAATACATGATATGCTCGGTGATAGAACATTATCTTTGCAATACTCCAAGTATTTAGCTAAGGCTGTATTTGCAGCCATTCGTCAATCATTTCAAGGTGCTCATTTAATTCAAGATTGGTTGGGAGAATGCTGTAATAGAATATCTAAATCAATAAGGTTAGACTTGGATAAAAAATCCATTGGGAAAGGTAAGAAACCAGAATTCATGACATCTATCATTTGGACAACTCCACTCAATTTACCAATTGTACAACCATATCGTGAAATTAGCAAGAAACAAGTGAATACTAATCTTCAAACTGTCTATATTAGTGATCCATTTGCTGTTAATAAGATTAACGCACGTAGACAAAAAGCAGGTTTCCCTCCTAATTTTATCCATTCTTTGGATGCCTCTCATATGTTAATGTCAGCTACTAAATGTAGGGAGGATGGTTTGGAATTTGCTTCAGTACATGATTCATACTGGACGCATGCATCGGATATTGTCACAATGAATAAAAATTTAAGAGAACAATTTGTTGCATTACATGAAGTTGATTTAATTGAGAGATTAAAGGACGAATTTGATGAAAGATACAAAAATTACGTTCAGATATCTAAAATTCCAAAATCTAGTGATATGGCAGCTGAAATTATGGCGCGTAAGGATACTATGGCTATCGAACTTGGGAGAGCGGTTACATATGTAGACGAACTTCAATTTGAACAAGAACGTCTAGCTCTTCTAAACTCGGAATTTGAAGATGATGTAAAGAAAGGTCAAGAAATGGTTACTACAATTTCCTTGGCTAAAGGTAGTGAAGAACTCTTTTCTGAGAAAGAAAGAAAGGGTGAACAAAATATGTTGACTATTTTAACACCTTTAGAGTTACCTGAAATTCCAGCAAAGGGTGATTTCGATGTTGCCAGTGTTAAGGAAAGTACATACTTCTTTTCATGATAATATATTTTAATACTCTGGTATTCGCTATTCGCTTAAGTGGTCGTGTGTGTATTTCACATGGAACTACGTGTTTGAATTCATACTATTATGAGCATTATTTCCGTCATTTTTTACTGTTATTATTAAAACTCAAGAATTGCATTAAAGACAAGTTTCGAGATATCATTATACTACCTTTAATAGGTTCATTCAATTTAAATTTGTTACCAAAAAAAAATTATAAACATTCATTAAAATATAAACAATAATTTATATATTTCTATAAACATTACATGTAAATAATAACATATATGAACTTATTCTTTTTATTAATTGTGCATTTTTCATTAGCTTGTATGTGTCTCTATATATTTATCATTTATTTATTTATGTAGTAATGATCTTTCCTTGTTTTTCAAAATTTTCGATTAACAGAATTAATGGTGTCATTTCCTTTCTATCAATTATGGTAAATTCTTTTGAAAAACTAATAAAATGAGCAAAAAATGAATTCCAATGAGCCTCTAATGAAAGATGCACTATTTTATCAAAATGATGATGATAAATATGTGCAAATATTCTAAACATTTGAATCATAATTCTTTGAACGTCTCTTAAAAATTCTTGTGGGAATGGGATATTATCCTTTGTTGGAAATAAATTTTTATCTGTCACTTTATTATTTATCCATGTTAAAGCTAAATCAATATATTGACTTGCAGGTAATGAAACTTGTCTATTGTTAGCATCTAGCCATAAATAATCCGTATGAGGGCCTGCATTCATTGTTGGATAAGCATCAGGTGTTACATATTCTGCAATCACACCATAAAACTGATTTAAGTTAGTGAAAAATTCAAATACGTTTAAAGCTATCCATTCTCCAATATCAACGTATTTCGGTAGTTGAACAATTGTCTTAAATGAACCTTTCACTAATGCTGTCCTTACGAATGGTTCACTAAGGAACATGATCTGTTGTGACTGTGACTGAGTACGCTCCGGTGAGGAACTCTGCGTACTATAATTGTGTTGCTGTTGCAGCTGTTGTTGTTGTTGTTGTTGTGATGGACGATGATGTGATGCATGAGAAGCAGGATAACTACCTTGTGAATTTCTTTTTGGTGAATGATTTTTCCGTAGTGATAGTTTTGAGTTAGAGTTATGTGGACTAGAATATATAGATGATAAGTTTGGTGGTGCAGGTTGAGCTATAGCTGTAGGTGGTGATTGTGCTTGTTGATTCTTATTCTTTTTCGAATTTCTTCCAAAACCTCTGTAATTAAAAAAAAAGTAATAAAATATTGATGTTTCATAAGTATCATATCTTACATAGATTAATAAACTATGATATGAGCGGTACATGCAATAAAATATAGTTAGTAAAAGTGAAAAAATAGAAAGAAGATTGATTTAAACTATAAGATCATTCAAAAAAGTCGAAAAAAAAATAAACTTGGAACATACTTGAAGTTAAAGAATGACATGACGTATGAGTATTACTGATGCTATTGTTCACGTTAAAGGTCGGTTATATTTGCTGGCTATGTACACTCTTTTTCTGATGAATAATACAACTATTACTTAAATAAGTAACAAAAACTACTAATATAGATCAAGATCTAGGTCAGATCAAGAAAATATGTGTGTTAATCGGATGAACAAAGAGAGACCCTTCGCAATTATTTGTTGTTGATGCTAACTTGTAGGCCCAAAAAAGTTGAAAATTTCGCGAATTTTTCAGTTTTTTTCAGCAGTGGAAACTTCATTTTTCCTTTAACAAAATTTTGATGGGAAACCTCATCGAGTGAGATATACTTTTAAATACAAGATATGCGGGTGTGGGTGTATATGGCTATGCTATGCTATGAATGGTGCTGTATAGTGTTGACAATGGCGTGTTGTTTTCTTTTTGTTACTTTTGTATAGGTGCTCAGCACACGTATAGAACGAATTTGTAGTTTCCTTTCTTTGATCTGTAAGGGTATGGCTCAAACATCTCCTAAAAAAGATGTTGCAAAGTGCAATGACCCATCTATCAGGATAGTTAATTCCAAAGTAGAGAGCTTGTCCCAAATTGGTAGTTTACTGTTGTAGCCCATGTCTTATCGTAATCTTATATATCATGTTTATTATTGAGAGGGTAACAAATACTTTAAGATTTTGTTAGTGAATTTTAATGGCGAAGCGGGAACTGAAAACTGGAGATGTTTCCTTCGATATAAGTAAATTAGAAGAACAAAGGATAAGGTAAATAGAGTAACATCTCTAATATTCAGGCTATTATTTAGGTGAATATTAGTACGGTTTACAAGTGTTATTGAACGTACGTCAGATACGAGTGTATTGATTTGTCTTCCTACATTTCATCTTTTTGAAGGAGAAGCTATAATATTACAGTAACCCACAGCAGTCATCGCTTAGATACGTTTTAGAATTTAACGACACTTTTTTTTTTTGGACTACGAATTGCAAGTCTTTAGCACACAGTTTTAATATCAACTCTAGAAATACAAATTTAGTGTATTTGAGTTAACTGATTGTAATAAATATATTAGGGGAAAAGCCATATTATAATTATGTCTTCGGAGGATTTAAGTAGTCGTATAAGGGATCATAATAATTATGATGATGATGACGATGATGAAGATTTAGGTATACAATTAAAAGGGTTAAAAATTACTAAACGTAATAATCCAGATCCTGTACCGTATTCACATCAGGATACCAATTCAAACATAAATGAACATTCGTCAATATCACAACATTCAAATGATGAAGAATTTGATCTCGGCGGCAGTTATGCGACGCCTGTACCTAATGGAAATCCATTTAGAGATAGTAATGAAATAAAATCATCTGGTATAAATACGATGATCACTAATAATACTACAGATGTATTGAATGGCACGATACCGAAAAGGTTGGGTGGAGAACCTGATATAATATTACATGATCAAGAAAACAATAATGCATATGGTTCATCAGATGATGATGTATTGGAGATACGATATAATTCAGATACTGAACAGGACCTTGAATATGGATATGATCCAACTATAGTGCAAAAAGAAGAGTTAGAAGCACACTCGGCAGAGGGTAAAGTAAATAATAGTGATAGTGATAGTGATAGTGATAGTGATAGTGATTGGGATACTGTTCCGGCTGTTGCATCCTATGATATTTATAATGACAAAGGGGAATTACAACTAAAACCATATGATGAAGAAGAAGAAAGAAAACTTCAATCACGGGATATAACGTCAGCGGGACAAGCTAATAATAAACAACTTTCTGATTCTAATATCAGTACACCGACCAATACAAATACGTTCCAATATACCAAAGTAGCAGTAGAAGCACAAGCTCAGCGGTCATATAGAACAAATAAAAAGACAGATTTTTTATTTGAGCATAAGAAATTAATAAAGATGAAAAATGGGAACAAAAATATGTCTTCAAATTCAATTAATGCATCGACGGATTCCTTAACAAGAAACCAATCCACTTCATCGGGAGTATATGGCAGTAATAATAATAGTAAAAGCGAAGCTGCTATCGACGAGGATGAAGATGAATATTACGATGAATATGAAGAGGAAATTGAACCAACAGATGATCTCAACAGAGAGTCACAACTGAGTATAACGAGATTATTATTGAATGACGTTGAAAAGTTCGCTTACCTTGGTGCCGTGAATGTAATTGCCAATCAGATGTGTACCGAATTAGCCACGTTGTGTCTTTGTATAGAGATCAAATCACATAAGAAATTAGCTCATAAATTACAATTTACGCAGAAGGATATGGCTGCTTGGAAAACTGCAACATTGACAAGACTATATAATCATCTAGATGTCTCGGAAGAAGAAATTGATATGATTGAGAAATTATCACTGCATAAGATTCAGGTTAGCGATTTATTAAAATGTTTAAAAACTACGCAAGATATGGATAATCCATGGGAAAACCAAGAAGATCAAAAGGAGAAATATGAGGAGACAACTGGAGTACAAAGTGATGATATGGTTAAAACTGACAAAAAAGATAAAGATTCAGTAAATATTGACATGACTTCATTAGCAACAGAAGAAACCGACGGTGATATTCTAAACGACACCAAACAAAATGGTATTATAGTTACTTCTGAACCTACACAAGTCATAAATCCAGATGCTGTTAAAGGTAAAAACAAATTAAATGTTGATGTGGCATGGACAGTCATTTGTGACCTATTTTTGGTACTTTTACAAAATTCATCCTATGATGCAAGATCTAGAACTTTATTAATACGCTTTGCTGAAGCTTTAAATATATCAAATTTGGAAATTTGTGAATTTGAGAAAAGGGTAACAGATTCTTTAGATATGGAACAAGCCACAGAAGATCAAGTCTGGAACGAAGAAAAGTTGATGAAGGATCGTAGAAAGAAAAAGAGAAGAAAGAAGATGGCCTACGTGGGGCTTGCGATGGTCGGTGGTTCATTGGTTCTAGGTTTAAGTGGTGGTCTCTTAGCACCAGTTATTGGTGCCGGTTTGGCTGCAGGTTTAACAACTGTGGGTATTACAGGTGCTACAGGGTTTTTGACAGGTGTAGGTGGTACAACTGTCGTGGCAGTCTCCAGTACAGCTATTGGCGCTAATATTGGTGCAAGGGGTATGAATAAGAGAATGGGTAGTGTTCGTACATTTGAATTCAAGCCACTGCATAATAATCGTCGTGTAAACTTAATACTTAGTGTATCTGGTTGGATAATGGGTAATCAGGATGATGTGAGATTACCGTTTTCTACCGTTGATCCTGTAGAAGGTGATTTATATTCTTTGTATTGGGAACCTGAAATGTTGGCCTCCATGGGTCAAACTATCGGGATTGTTGCCAGTGAAGTTTTCACTCAAACTCTTCAACAAGTTCTAGGTGCCACGATTCTGGCAGGTTTGATGACAGCTATCCAATGGCCAATGGCATTATCTAAGCTTGGTTACATTATTGATAACCCGTGGAATGTTTCACTTGACAGAGCTTGGAATGCTGGTTTAATTTTGGCAGATACATTGATATCAAGAAACCTTGGGGAGAGACCTGTTACATTAGTTGGTTTCTCATTGGGTGCAGCCGTTATACATTCTTGTTTAGTTGAACTCTGTAAGAAGAAGGCTTTAGGTTTAGTAGAAAACGTGTATTTGTTTGGTACACCGGTTGTTAGGAAAAGGGAAGAGTTGGTTATGGCTAGATCTGTAGTTAGTGGTAGGTTTGTCAGTGCATATTCCAGTAAAGATTGGGTTTTAGCATATTTGTTTCGTGCTACAGCTGGTGGTTTTATGGCCATTATGGGTATTTCACCAGTCGAAGATGTTGAGGGAATCGAAAATTTTGACTGTACCGAACTTGTTGATGGTCATATGGCTTATCGTCAAAATATGCCAAAATTATTGAAGAAGTTAGGGATAGCGGTTTTAAGTGACGAGTTCGTAGAAATAGAAGAAGCAATGGACCCTGAGGAAGCAAGAAGACATAGGAAGTTGGTTAGAGACGTCGACGCAGCCCAAAAGAAATTGTCATCAAAGAAGAAACATAGCAGTTGGATGCCAAGTTGGATTAAACCAAAGAAATCGAAATGGCGTGTAATGATGGAAGAAGTCGTTGAGGATAAGGATATAAAGGAAGAAGATATGGAAAATCCACCTACCCCTCCAAGTATTATACCTAAGAAGAAAGATGCCGCTATTGTTGACCATGGTGCGTTAATGTATGAATTACAACTGTTAAAAGCAGCCATGAGAAAGAAGGAGGAAGAAAGTAATACAAGTGAAAGTGCTAGAGAATCTGAAAGTCCTGGGATAGGTAATTCACAATCCATGCCCCAAACACCTATAAACAAATCTACAAATAATTTCCAGCTTTTAAGCGCTGGTAGGACTGTTCTTCCGGAAGATGATCAAGATGACTACGTGAATAAGAAAGGTATGACTTTCGAATTTCCTGATGACGTATAAATGAATTTTTATAAATTATATAGATAAGGATACATAAAAGGAAAAAGTGATAATATTATAATATTTCTTTTTTTTATGTTTAGTTTTGATTTGTGGCAATCCGTGTATAACTAATTATATTATTATTCCTTTTTTTTATTCATGAGTGATATACTTGTACATAAAGTTTTATAGAAATAGTGATTACGTTTATAAATATATATATCTTTCACTATTTTGATTTTTTGTTATGGTAAATTGTAGAAGTTACATTGTGTTTCCTTAAAATAATCATCTACATCATTCATAGGAATACTTCAGAGTTCAATTCAACATATGAAGCAGCAAATGGAACATCAAAGTTGTTCATAACTTCTGGGTGTAGAACACCTAGATGACCAATTTGTTGAGCCTTTTCACCTTCCTTACTTCTAAACATGACCTTGGCTCCTCTACCTGGGAAGTAAGTCTTGATAGAATCATCTTGTTCAATCCAGTAACCTCTACCTGTAGATGCAGCACCGTAATCAGCGATCCATTGTGTTCTGAAAGTTTGCATTATCTTACCCAAAAGACCTTGAATAATTTCGAAACCAGAGTTCTTACCAACGTAGATAGCACCCCAATGACGTTCATTGTAAGCCTTTCTTTCAAGTGCTTCGTTTTTGAAAACGACATCACCACTTTCGAAGACCTTAATTGGAAGTGTATGTTTTCTATTTTCCTTAACAGTCTTTAATAAACCTGGTAACAGAGTTGTTCTGACAACTTGGTATTCTAGAGTTTTTGGATTAGCCAACTTAACAGCCTTTGTGTTGTCATCTTCGGTCTTTAAGAACTTAAAGTTTTCATCATGTGAGCATAGGGTCAAAGCCATAACTTCTAACCAAGAAGCTTGAGAGGAAGCTAATCTGAATATATCAGAAATCTTGTTAATTGGTAGAGCAGAAGCAACGAAGCTGGCGTTTGCCAATTGCTTACCCTTTGGTAGATTGTTGTAACCATAACCAATAGCAGCATCTTCCATGATATCACATGGATGTAGAATATCAGATCTGGTCATTGGAATAGAAACACTTAGAACGGCATCGTCCTTTGGAGAAACAACAGCATGCAAGGAAAGTTTCTTTAAACAGGCAGCAATTTCTTCTGGAGTTTGTTCAAGACCCAAAGCAGAGTTGATGTAAGGAATAGAAACATCCATAACTCTCTCTTCTACCTTTGGAACCATACGAGATTGGCCATTATGTTCAGAAACAATTTCGACCGGTTCAATACTAAATGGCTCGTCACAGTAACGAGAGAACATAGCGCATAAAGTTTCCAAAACAACCTCAGCCTTAGTTTTGTCGGTGGCAGTAATATCGATCAAAACATTACGGGTCTCTAGAGAAATTTTGGAGTGTTCTGAATTAATCAAAGGAGGTAGTGAACAGACGGTATCGTTGTCATCCATAATGACTGGGAAAACTGGAGAGTTTTCAATGATATGAGTGAAACGACCAATGTTATTCTTTTGTTCTGGGGTCTTGTAAAATTCGATCAATTCTTCACCGTTGAATTCTTTTGTTTGGTTCAATGGAATAAATTTAATATCCTTTGGTGGTAAAGCTCTGTAGTGGAATGGGCCCTTGACAGTGTCCAAATCATGGGTACCCATTGCGACCAAAGATCTGTTTCTACATAAGTTGGAATGTAGTTTATCTTGAAGACTGATAAAAGAAGCATATGACTTTTCAGTGAACTTGATATTTCTTAGAACTGCAGCTGCAGCATATGGTCTAATTTGTTCAGTTTCCTTATCAATGATCAATTTTGTAGTTGGTTTCAAAAGTTTATATTTTGGAGTTTCGGCTCTACCTAAGTATTCGTTAAGTGATTGGGCAATACCTTCGATACAAAGTAGATCGTAACGATTGGCACCGATTTCAATTTTTAATTCAGGTTCTTCGCCGGTTTTTAAAGCTTCCTCAGTAGTATCTTCGTCCAATTCAACACCGAATTCGAAACATAATTCATCGAATTCATCATTAGTGTAATTTTTACCAAGAAGGTCGAATAGCTGTTGCTTGTTAACAGAAATGGTAGGCATGGCGGTTGTAGTTGTGCACTGTCTTGTCTATGAGACTATTTCTAACTATGATAATACTTTATCACTAAATAAATATTAATTGTTAAGCAGTAATACTCTAAATGTATTAAAAGTTACTGGGTATACAATAAACTACATAATTAATTGAGAATTCAAGAGATTGTTAAGGTCAACTGTCAAACACAATGTTTCTCTGTTTGACTGATCTCTCTATTTCTTGCTTATTGCATTTTCGTTTTTTTTTTCGCTTTTCTTGCTTTTCTCTGCGATGTGCTGAAAAATTTTTCAACGTAGAAAATGATCTTAAATGGTGTTATAAACTATCACACGGAACCTAATCAATGGGCAACGTTTGATGACATTTCGTCACTGTCACTAATGATTGTATCTTCAGCCTCTTCTTGACTTCTCTTTAGAGCATATTTGGACAATATTCTTCGTAACTGAGCCGAATCAATAGGCTTTTCCATGACATCGTCAAACATGTTTGTACTAATAGCTTCTTGGTAGTAGTTTGTGATAGCAATAATAGGCGTTTTGGCATTAATATCATTCGTATGCTTGATTAATTTAATAATGTCTAACACATTAAAATTCATGAGTTTCAATGGAATCAAGATAAGGTCAAATGTGATACCACTGGTAGCTTTACTAACTAGTTCGTCACCAGCGCTTGCCGTAACAACAGTACAACCCATGTCTTCTAGATCTTTGGCGGCACGATACCTGTGAATAGGGATTGGCTCACAAAGAAGAATGTCCATATGATAACCTATTTCATTATTTGTATTATTAGATTCACGTCTGCTACTTCTTCTTCTGTGTCTTAGAGTATTCACTCTTGCAACTGCTTGAAGTCTATCTGTCTCATCAGATGAAATCTCAGCTGTACTACTTCGTTGAGAATTTATTATTGTCTTGGAAAGTAGCTTACTCCTATGTGCTTTGTTAAATGTATTAGATGCAGGTGATAAAGGAGATTTAAATTTTGAAGTTGTTGGAGAATCAGTATCACTGAAAAAAAGTGCATTCGGAGACTTTGTATATGTTCCAATAAAGTTCGACGATATTGGCGTATTTTTATCAATAGCACTTATTATACTTCCCTTTCTTGAAATGTTACCAAGTCCTTGGTCTATACTGTTCGACCTTTCAGGTGAAAATGATTTAATAGATGACGAATCTGATCGCATTAAATTCTTCGGCATTGGGTTAAAAGCTGGGGACCCAGTTAGTGAACTTCTGTGCAATTTAATTTTGGAAGACGATGTATCTGATGAAGAGCCAGCCACTGATCCGGACGATGTCCTTCTGTGAACACGCGGTATGTCACTGAAATGCTCATTCTTAAGCCTATTAATAACATCTTTGTTGGCTTTATCAAGAGCAGATAAATTTCTGAAGTAAAATGATCCAAATTCAGTTTGTGCATCATTTAATTTACTGGCTCTTCTCTCTCTCATATGAGGAGGGATAGCCAAGGACATACTTTTGGGAACTGATGAGTTTCTCCCTGTGTTTTCAGGTATTTGACCCATTGTATTTGAATTATCAATAGATTCAAGTACAGAAGATATACTTAATTTATTGACAGGACTTAAATATTCGCCTGTCCCAGCCATTGAGGTTCCAGACCATTCGCGTGGAGCAGATGATATCGGTGTTCCCTTCGGCGTAGATAAGGATAATCCGTCACTTGTATTCAATATTGGAATATCACTATTATCCGTTATATTATACTCTTCTTTTGTCTTTGAGGCTTCGTCGTCACTATCCTCTAAATTCTCTAAGATGGCACCTCTAGGGTCGAAATATTCTGTATTCTCAGGGTTGTCAACTGTTGGTACAAATGATGGTTCTTCGTCGTAGACATTTTTCCAATCAATGGTCTTGAAATAAGGATGGTCCTTTACCTCTTCGGCACCATTTACACCTAAACGCTGTGTTGGATCAAGGACAAGTAACTTTGTAATCAAATCTTTTGCATCCTTCGATAAAAATTCACTTTCTTCTTCAGCAGAATCGAATAATGGCCATTGTATATTCCCCGCCAAAATATTTCTAAAGACAGCTTCCGGGGAGTTTGCATGAAATGGAGGATATCCTAATAAAAGTTCAAACATTATACAACCGACAGACCACCAATCACATTCATCGCCTTCGCCAGTTCCTTTGATGGTTTCGGGTGCCAAATAATCTGGCGTCCCAAAGAATTTTTTATCTTGTTTCGAGTCCTCTGGATGAAACAAGGCTAAATCTGAATTATGAGATGTATTAGAGGAAACAGTAGACATACTGTTGCTATGTGTTGTTTTTTGGATATTTGGAACGGAATAGTTTGATAAATTGGTATCGTTGGTTGAGGTGGCTTCAGTTTTGCTACCAGATGGTGTGGAAAAGTTCGTGAAATTTTGTGGAGGAGGGGTACTTGCTCGTGAAACCTCAAATAGAGAAAGAGATAGTTGCGAATCATTCTTCGTAATATTCAAAAAATCGTTGTTATTCGTACTGTCAGCACGAGGAGTAGGGGTACTCAAAAAATCAGATTCGGGTGGCTTTAGTGATGAGATTGATCTCTTTTTGGTCTTTGTAGTACCTATAGTTTCAGAAACAGATGACTGAATGGAACTTTTATTAATCTCAGTTTCGTCGTTTGAGTTGTTAGAAGTTACAGATTTTGATCTAGTAAAGATTTTATGTCTTCGTACCAACCCAGCCCTAGATAAACCAAAATCTGTTAATTTTATATGGCCTTTATTATCGATCAGTAGGTTATCAGGCTTCAAATCGTGATGAATGATACCATTTTGGTGCATATCGTCTACACCAATTATAATTTCAGCTAGATATTGTCTCACCCACTCATCTGGTAATATATCCATCATTTTGATCAGAGTTGCTAAGTCACCACCAGGTAAATATTCCATAACCAGAAATAGATTGTCCTTATTTTGGAAAGTAGCAAAAAGTTTTGCCACATACGGTTTATCACTTTGAAACATCATGATGGCCCTTTCAGATTTTACATTCATGACTTGATTCTTGGCAATCATGTCTGATTTCCTTAGTACTTTCACAGCAAAATAATCACCTGTTAATTTCTTTCTAGCTAAATATACACTACCGTAGGCACCCTTACTGATAGGTTTCAAAATGTCATAATCACGGATACTAGGTTGAGCTGTTTTTACTTGATTTGTTGCTAACAATAATGGTGATAGAGGTTGGTTAGGAGATGCAGGATTGTTTGGGAATTGTTCCGGTGTTAAGAAATCCCTGGCAAGAGCAAATGGCGAACTTATTGGAGATTTTTCTAGATCCAATCTCAACATTTGATTATGAAAATTTGATGGTGTATTTGAATGGATTGAGTTATTAAAATGACGCAATTGTGGATCATCTAATGGTTTTATAGTTGCATTATTATATGAAGATATGTTTGATGGTAGAGGTGATCCTCTTCTTGGTGTCAAAGATATCGTTGTTGATAGTTTTGGTAAATTCGAATTTAAATTAGAAGTACTTTGAAGTTGACTTATGGAATTAGTGTTTGAAAATTTTGTAGTTGACATTTGTGGAGTCTGGTATGACGAATTTGAAACGCTATTACTACTATTAAAACTGGAGTTATTACGTTCATGTGATGTATCTGATTGGTACATATCGTAATCTAGTTGAGTGCTGGGTGTTATCGATCTTGAAATATGTCTAGGATATTTTGATTGATGAGGTTCTGGTGTAGATAATTTGTCCCGATTGGGTGTATCATCAGTGAATTTCGAGATACTTAGACTACTGTGTGTAGTGGATCCCATCCTTGGTAATTCATCATTTTTCAAATATGATTCTGAGAACAATTTACTATTATCATGATTATCAGTATCATTCACATGTTTTGGTTGTGGTGTAACTAAAGTAGGTAATTCTATCTTGTTGGGGTCTATTGTATTAAAAGTTTCATTATGATGGCTTTGTGTAAATGTAGCAGCTGTACCTAAGGTTCGTAATGTGTTAGAATCTAATTGAGATGGTGTCTCTTGTAAATCATTATCTGTCGGTTCATATATGGAAGGAATTTTATGTAATAAAGAATCCATGGAATGATAGTTTGCATTTGTTGGTGATAATGATACATGTGGTAGAGTTGGTGTTGAACTTGTCCCGGTTGGTGTAACGAATTGTGCACTTAATGAATGAGCTTGTTTCAATCTATTATTTTCAACTTGTTCACGAATAAGTTGCATAGCAATATCATTTACTTCATCTTTAATACGTTGAGAATATTTCATTGCATTATCAAGTCTACGAACAGAATCAACTTTTTTCTTTGTAAGTTCTATCGTGTCTGAAATTAATTGAGTCAAAATAGAGTCATCTCGGAGTTCATCTATACAATCTTGTAGATCTGGATAATTCCAATTATCAATATATTGAATATTAGTCTTTGTATTTGGTGAAAATTGAAAATTTGTACTCGTAAAATAACTTGTATCATCATTTATATTTGTTCGATATTGTTGTTCTGTAGTTGGTTCACTTGGATTTACATCTATTGCATATTCTACTAATTCTTTTAATGATTCTAATAAGTTTTGTTGTCTAATTGTCCATTCATCATTTTTCAATTCTTCATTAAGTCTTTTCTCTTGTTCAACAAGATTATCATGTAATAATTGTACAACTGATTGAATTCTATGTTCAACGACACAATTTTGTGAATGAGTTTCTAACCACCAAGCAGGTACAAAAGTTTCACAAACTCTACAGAGTTCCATTCTTGGTATTGGTAAATCGATATCATTAATTACGCCACTATTTTCAATTTGTCTAATATATGAAGCAAATATAGTTGCACCAAATCCTAATTTTTTAATAAATGATTCTGGTAATAATTGTTGTAATGCTAATTTATGTTGTTGTTCAGTATATGGTTTCATATTCCACATTGAATATAATGGTTCATGAGTATGTGGATCTTTTATAAGAATCCCACAAGCTTCTAGTGGAACTAAAGAATCCTGAGAATCCCATGTATTAAACGTTACGGTATAGCTAATATCATCATTTTGTAACATCATTTCTACTGCATTATCAAAGACAGCTTTATCCTGTGGAGTACCAGAAACGAATTCTGAAATTTTTTGAAAATTATTAGGGGCACTAACACCTAATAAACTTTCCCATTGTTGTGAAGAGATATATTTAACACAGCCTAATAAATCCAATTCCATTACCATTGAAAAATTATTTTGTGTAGCAATCTTTATATAATCGTCATAATTTGCGGAGTTGCCGCTATCACTAGAGTTTGTATCATCGCTAATCGTATCGTTGTTGTCCAAAGGGATACAGTTATGAGATACTGACATTTTCTCATGCCAATGGGGAACAATTTTTATTTAACAAAGAATTTGTTCTTTTGTGTGTTGTGTCTCTTCTCTTTGAGAAAATGTATATACTTAAACACTAAACGTTTTCAAAAATATGTGTATGTATCTTTTTAAGTGTTTGAGTCTCTTTATTACTATGCTCTTAATTTTGTTTTTTAAAAAAAAAAAGCCAAAGAAAAGTAAAGGCTCTAACAAAGAAAGGGAGATCGCGGCCTGTTAATTTTTATTGTACTTCGTACAGTATTATTATTATACAAAACAGTAAAAATAAGGGTCCATCTGCATATATAGAAGGAAGATCAAGATACAACTATAACGTGAACTAGATATAGATATATATATACTTCCACTAAAATGTTTATGTTACTATTGTTAGCAAATATTATCTTATAGAGTGCAGCTTCATATCGAAATGTTTAATAATTATACTAGATGCAGTAATGTACAAAATAATTTAGTAAATTATCAGAACAAAAACAGAGAGAGAACGTATATATATTAAGAAAATATGGAATTCATAATATAATATTATTGAATAACTATTAAGACTCAACTCTAACAAATTTACATTGAACACATTCTATTCAGCCTCGTTGTTAACAAAACAATTTATACAGGGAATAACTACGTATTAGCCACGTAACACCCAATATCTACATATATATATATATATATATATATATAAAGTAAAAAATAAATCAGCTCATCTCATCTCCAGACAACATACTAATTGACGCTTCTTTACCACTCCAAATTTTGACTTCTTCGTAAGAAAGGATAACCTACCCCGTAAGAACTCTCTTTCTTTCTCAATCAATGTTAAATCCATTAAAAGACTTATTGAAATTATTTAGATATATATTTCCACTTGTGGAAAGAGAGAGACACGAAAGCTAATATATATTACTCATAGTAATACATATATAGAAACGCGTAAACTAAAATTAAAATTAAGTCAGCCATTTTAAATTTTACTAAGAAAAACAAACTTGTCTGAGAGATATTTTAAATATATTGCCTCATTTGGGCATTACCGCCGACTCACTTCCATATTAGGTAATTAGTCAACATTTCAATAAATGAATACTGAAAAGAATGTAATTACTAACCCAAAACGGGCAAAAATAACATATGATTCAATCGCGAAAATCATTGAGTGGTCCCTCTCTTAGTCGCTATTAGCAATTTAATGTGAGGAAATTGTTTTTTGCTTGGTAACGCGCACACACACCCTTACTTACTAAACTACTCTCATACTGTGATACGACTCACTGCCATATTTGTGAAACTAGAAAAAATAAAAACTTTTTCTTGCAGGCTGGACTTTACCTGGCTTTCTCTCTCTCTCTCTCTTGTGATATATTACATGAAATGCAGCCATATCATTGTTAACGAGCTGCCCGGGGAATGAACCTCTTGTACCGAAATCCAAAAAAACAGGTATACGTGTCCTTTTCGTCCTCTTTTTTTTGGGTGCTCTATATTGCCGCTACCTCGTTCACAATGATATTCTATACGTTTCTACGTTAAATTCTCTTTCTCGCCCCCCCTCCGTATGAACTGTTTCTCTTCTCCCTCTTCGTGCCCTCCCTTCTTCATTCCTTCCCCCCACGCCTGTCTCTTGAAAACAATCAAAATTGACAGAGAAAAAATTGCCAATACAAACTGATGCATAATTTTACATTTTGTCTACAAGAAGGTTTAGTTCTTACTATAGTGCATATCGTTTATAATAATAATAATAATATATATTTTCTACTAAACAATGTGCGGAGTTATCATTGTTAATGTCTGTTTTATAATAGATAACTCAGAATATTCTTGCCCCCCCCTCTCTCTCTCTCTCTATTTTATCGCTTTCTCTCTCTTTCTCTCTCTTATGCACCGAAAGAGGCAAATTTTAAACATGATTCCAATATCCTGATAATTTTTTCGTTACTTCGCAAAACAAATTTTGAATTCTCTCTATTCTTACCACACTGTGCCTCAAATACTGTATCATTATTATTTGTGCCGTCTATTATTAAGTTTGTTTATACATGGTGTAACTGCATATTGAACAGAAAAGAGACAGAGGACAAGAAAATATGATTTTCGTTTTTTTCTTTCGCTATGAAGAAAAAGTGAAAAATTTCTATGTTGTTTGCTGTTTTTATGTAAGAGAGTTGATTTTGGTTTTGCCACCTTTCTCTCTCACCCCCCCGCGTATAAACTGTAACAGTTAATTTGCTGCATATCAACACTGCATACCTTTTTATTTTTGTATTTTCAATAATAATAAGAATAATAAGAATAATATATATATAATCTTGTTAAAGAGATTTAATAACTTCTTCATTGAACATTCTTGTTTCACTTTTTATTTTCATATATATATATACTCTTATTTCATCCATTCTTTTTTAATTAATTTGAAATATAAAAGAATTATCTATTACTCTTTTATATCCTCTTATATATTTCTAATATTTCTACTGAGATAGATACACACACATACACACATACACACATACATTATGGAAACCACTTTAAGAACTAATAAAAATTCTATCGATATCCCTTCTGATTTCAAAAGTACTTTACCACCTCGTAAGAGAGCAAAGACAAAAGAAGAAAAAGAACAACGTCGTATAGAAAGAATTCTTAGAAATAGAAAAGCTGCACATCAATCAAGAGAAAAGAAAAGATTACATTTAAAATTTTTAGAAGATAAATGTAACATTATGGAAAAAATTATTGACGGTTTAAATTTACAAGAAATTTTTATTAATCAATCAGATAAATTAAAATTAGTTAAAGATTTAAACACTTTAGCTATCGAAGAAGATTTTGTTCAACAACAACCTTCAAATAATCCATCTCCACAAAATGATAAACAACAATCGATTATTAAACAAGAAGAAGATGTTAATTCTAATTCTTTTGATTTCACTTTCTCTATGAAAGATATTCATAAATCAAATAATAATACTGATGGTACAATGTCATTCCAACAACAAATTCCTTCTCCTTCAACTTCTGTTTCTACTCATGGTTCAATATCAATGTCTCCTGATAGTTTAGCTCATACTTTAAAAAATGAATTATTATCAACACATATTAAAAAAGAAGAAGAAGAAGAAGAAGAAGACAATATCGATATTGATGATGATGCACGCAAGTTTGCTTTACATATTCAAAATGATAATGAAGAAACTATGAAAGCTATCTTTAATGATCATATAAATAGCAATGATGATGTCGATAATCAAGATTTCGATTTTGAAGCCGACGCTGCTACTGCTCTAGAGCATAGTATTTTAAGTCATGTTACTGATGATTCTCAGAACAATCTCCTGTTGACTAGCAATAATAACGAATTAAACGATGTTATGGACGTCGTTACTGAGTTCGATCCACCTACTACTACAATCACTGGTTCATTTGATCTTGACAATTGGCGTAATCCAGCCGCGATTACTCTGATATCATAATTGACATATATTAATTCCAACTAATATTACTTTCTTTACTCCCCCCCCCTTTTTATAATGAATTTAAAATGATTGATTCATTTTATTTTTCATGATGTGTGTGTGTGCATCTATCTCACAAACAATAATAATTTATTTTATTTTATTGTTACTTTTGCATGGGACAAGAAAGTAAGTTGGTTTTATATCTTTTGCATTATTACATTTTGTCATTATGGTACTGCCCGAAGCGCAGTCAAGTCTAAATTTGTCATTTGAACCTGTTGATTTTATTACTATTTAATTATTATTATTGGATAGTAATAATAAAAGTAGAAGTATGGTATGGTATCACACATACTCTAATAATAAATTATTCTCCTTAGCATTTGCCGGTCATTATTCTTTTCCAAAAAAAAAAATAAAAATTATATCCTTATTAAACTTTTTTTTTTGTTTCAACCATTTGTTTCTAATCTATTTCAAATTATTATTTTTCTTACAGGAAAATCTTATGTTGTCATTTTTAACAAGATACCTTGACTAATTTTAAATTACAAATTCTACTGACTCAGTGTGGCGCGCTTGATATTTACTCTGCTTCATGATATTGCAAGAGATAAAATATATGTGGCTGCGACTGCTGAATAATCATGGTCTTATGAATTATTAATATTTTGTCATTTTTTGTTTTGTTTTAAAAATACAAGCATTACATTTATTGAAATTAGATCACTATTGTAAACGTGGGGAAATAAATTGCTGTTTCTAATAAGGACGGGAGTAGTTCTGTTTATTGTTTTTTAAAGTATTCAAAAAAAACATAAAAATAATAAAAATATAAAAAATACTACATATATATATAATCATTATAGGTCTAATCATATAACATTTTCTTCGTTTTTTAAAATTTCATACATTTCTTCATTTTTGGCTATCTTCAATAAGCTTTTACTTTAATACAGTTTACATATATGTATATATGTATATATATGTATATTGACACAATTTTCCGATTTCTCGCTATGTATAAATATATATAATTCTGACCAATATGCGCCATCCCATTACTCCGAGATTCCTTTCCGCATGTCTTCGAGATTAGAAACAAAAGTACGAATGACACACACAGACTAATATATATAAAGGGATGGATACGAATACGTAATCTAGTGATATATCTTGTTTTTGTATTTGTATCGATGATAACACAATAGACATATATAAATAGTTAATGAGATTGAGAAATATTTTATTACCTAACAACTATAAATTTTCTAATATTATTATAAAGAGACCGTTAGTCACAATGTCATTGTCAAAAGAACAAACAAAATTATTAATCCCAGGCCCTATTACCCTCTCCAAGGAGGTTGTTGGTGCTTTGGGACAACAATCAGTATCACATACTTGTCCATCCTTCACCACATCATTCAAGGAATCTCTTAAGATGTTACGTCAAGTGTATGTTGCTCATGAGACTCGAGGTATGCCATTAATCATTTCGGGTTCAGGTACATTGGGTTTCGATCTGGTTGGTTCTAACTTGATTGACCCAGCTGATGATAAAATTTTAGTTTTATCAACAGGATTTTTCAGTGATGAATTTCATGAAGCAATTTCAACTTATTATGTTGAAGATTCTAATCAAGTTAAACGTTTATCTGCCACAAATGCAGGTGATACTATACCACTAAATGAAATTGAAAATGAATTACAGAATGGAAATTATGACCTTATTGTAATGACTCAAGTAGATACCTCAACAGGTGTATTACTAGATATTGAAAAAATTGCTAATTTAGTTCATAAAATTTCACCAAATACATTAATTGTAGTTGATACAGTTTGTTCATTAGGTTGTGAAACTATAAAATTTGATCAATGGGGGTTAGATATTTGTATTAGTGCTTCACAAAAAGCAATTGGTGCACCACCGGGATTATCACTTGGTATGGTTAGTGATAGAGCAATTTTAAAATCTGAAACGAAAAAACCTTTACGTAATGGAAGTTATTATACTTCATTTAAGAAATGGTTACCAATCTTAAAAGCCTTTGAATCTGGGAAACCAGCATATTTTGCTACACCACCTGTACAATTAATTGATTCCCTAAGAGTAGCTTTAAGACAAATTTTAGAATTTTCTTATGAGGGTCAAATTGGTATTGATGCAAGAGTCAATAAACATAGAGATACAAGTGATAATTTTAAAAACATTATTACCAAAGAATTTAATCTATCTTTAGTTTCAAAGACTTTAAATAATTCAGCTCACGGCCTTACTGCGTTTTATGTTAATAATCCACCATCGGTGATCAATTTTATGCAACAACACGGCTATACCATTACTGGTGGAATCCATAAAGATATTAAGAGCAAATATGTCAGAGTCGGTCATATGGGTGTTAGTGCATGCGATGACTCTCTCAATGATATCTCAGGTTGTCTTTCAACTTTGGGTGATGCATTGAAATAGGACTACTACTTTTATGTACCAAAATGAAGAAGGAGAGTCAAATCTTTCCAAGAGTCAACCAAAAGGAAAAAGAAAGAAATAGTATTCAGTTTCGCTGCATTTCTTTTGTTGACTCTGGCTAGTGGAATATACTGCTATTTCACACATACACACCATACAAACTCCTCAAAAACAAAAAATATCACGTGATTTGCGCATTCCTTTTTCTTCTTTTCTCCGGCGTTTCTCTACAATAAAATACAGAAACCCGTTGCTGCTGTTGTTGTTGCTGTTTTTTGACTCCTTTTCCTGTCAGCCATCGTCGACATTCTCTCTCTGTTTGAATGAGTGAGACAGAGACAGCTAGCCAATTCCAACAAAAATGTGTGATGACTTGTAAGCAAACACACCATACACCTTTTATTTTGTAGATATTACATACATTTTTATATATTCTTATCTTTAACCTCTTCAATACTTTTAATACTGAACTCACACATACAAAGCATCTCTTTCTTAAGCTAGTTGTTACTACTTTCTGCAGTGACTCGCTTTTTGTTTCTGTTCGGTTGTTTCTGTGCATTATTTCATCTTCCTTTTTTTTCACTTTTTTTGGAATTTTTCGAATGAGTTAAATAATAATTAACATTCCCACGTTCTACTGTTGAAAATGTTATATATAAAGGGTGCTCAAGGACCACGTATTGAACATATTATTTTTATTCTATCTTGGGATTAGTTTTAAATATATATTTGTATTGTTTTCTATTACTAAGTAAACCAGTACACTAACCACTTTACAACACATACATACAACAATAATGACTTACGCTCTATCCCAACAACACAAAGAAATGGTCACTGGCCATCTAAAGGAAACTGATCCTCAATTAGAAAACTTAATTGAATCAGAAATCGACAGACAAAGACATTCTGTTGATTTAATTGCTTCTGAAAATTTCACCTCTACCGCTGTATTCGATGCATTAGGAACTCCTTTATGTAACAAGTACTCTGAAGGTTATCCAGGGGCTCGTTACTATGGTGGTAATGAATTCATTGATCAAATTGAAACTCTATGTCAAGATAGAGCTTTAGAAGCCTTCCATGTCACTCCAGATAAATGGGGTGTCAATGTACAAACTTTATCTGGTTCTCCAGCTAATTTACAAGTTTATCAAGCTGTTATGAAGCCTCATGAAAGATTAATGGGTTTATATTTACCAGATGGTGGTCATTTATCTCATGGTTACGCTACTGAAAATAGAAAAATCTCTGCTGTTTCTACTTATTTTGAATCCTTCCCATATAGAGTTGATCCAGAAACTGGTATTATCGATTATGATACTCTTGAAAAAAATGCTATCTTATATAGACCAAAGGTTTTAGTCGCTGGTACTTCTGCTTACTGTCGTTTAATTGATTACAAGAGAATGAAAGAAATTGCTCAAAAGTGTGGTGCTTATTTAATGGTTGATATGGCTCATATCTCTGGTTTAGTCGCTGCTGGTGTTATTCCATCTCCTTTCGAATACGCTGATATTGTTACTACTACTACTCACAAGTCTCTAAGAGGTCCAAGAGGTGCTATGATCTTCTTCAGAAGAGGCGTTAGATCCATCAACCAAAAGACTGGTAAGGAAGTTCTATATGATCTAGAGAACCCAATTAACTTCTCTGTCTTCCCAGGTCACCAAGGTGGTCCACATAACCATACTATTGCTGCTTTAGCTACCGCTTTGAAACAAGCCGCTACTCCAGAATTTAAAGAATATCAATTACAAGTATTGAAGAACGCAAAGGCTCTAGAAGAAGAATTTAAGAACTTGAAGTATAGATTAGTCTCTAATGGTACTGATTCTCATATGGTTCTTGTCTCTCTAAGAGAAAAGGGTGTCGATGGTGCTCGTGTTGAATACGTTTGTGAAAAGATTAATATTGCTTTAAACAAAAACTCTATCCCAGGTGATAAATCCGCTTTAGTTCCAGGTGGTGTTCGTATTGGTGCTCCAGCCATGACTACTAGAGGTATGAGTGAACAAGATTTCCACAAGATTGTTCAATATATTGACAAGGTTGTTAATATTGCTGAAACTACCCAGCATGGTCTACCAAAAGAAGCAAACAGATTAAAGGATTTCAAGGCTGCTATTGATGCTAACCCAGATCTATGGACTGGTCTAAAGCAAGAAATTTACAACTGGGCTGGTGAATATCCTCTAGCTGTGTAAAAAAAAAGATAACGCCTAATAATAATAATAATAAAATTTACACTGTTTGCATATAAGTATATATATATTTTATAATATAATTTCGAAAAATTCCTTCCATATTTTAAACTATCATACTTATTAGATAGGTATTTAGGTTATTTTATTGTAGTAAATGCGAAAAATAAATAAATACAAAGATGTATACTTAAAATATATATGTATGTATGTGCAGTAGCAATGCATGTAAGCTTATGATCATAGGGATGCCAATTCGATTACTAATTTGTCACTAGATATTCTTTTGGTCGAATCGTATTCCAACATTTTGGTCAAGGCACTTAAGATTCCTTCTCTGATGGGAACATCGTTAATTTCATCCAATCTAGGCAAGAACTCTCTTAATTGCTGGAGTTGTCCTTCAACAGATTGATATTTAAAATATTTTCCATCACCTTTTTCTCCGAACATTCCAATAAATGCATCCTCTGAACCAAATTCTGAAACCTCTCTCCAATCTTCAACTTTAGGGTATCCAAATTTAGCAAATATACTCAGCAATAATCGTATATCGCTACCATTTTGTCCATCTTGTGTACCATCATCAATTATGGCTGGGATATAAAAATCATCTCGAGTTTCCGAGACAGTTTTCCCTGTAGTCGAGATAATTTTAGTATCTTTTTGAAACCATTGTGATACTAAAATCATTAAAGACCATATATCAATACTATATCCATAATTTTTCACCCCTAATAATAGCTCAGGAGCTTTGTATATAGAAGAGGATACGTCTGTAATCTTTCGTTCAGAAGGTTCACCGATGGTCTGCTTAGTATCGTTGGTATCATATGATATGCCGAAATCAGTAATCTTTAACAAATCAGTCTCTAGATCAACCATTATATTATGTGGCTTTATATCTCTATGAATGATCCCATTGTGGTGTATAAATTGTAAACCTTCTGCGATCTGAAGGAAATATTTGTATGCGTATTTATTCACGTCAAAATAATTTTTATATATTAATTCTTTAGTTCCAGTCACAGTACCTTCTTTATCCACATCTGTAGTCAAATTGTAATAGGGATTGAACTTCCTTTTTGGTTCTTGATGCGCTGATTGCTTATATTGAGCTCTCATCACTTCATACAGACTGAATGAATAATAAGGGAATAATAATTCTACTTCATCCTCATCGGCTGGATTCCGACCAAAATCCAATAATTCAATTATATGAATAGCACCTTTCTCTAAATTTGAGGATTCCTCGATTGCACTTCTAAGTTTTAATAAGATGGATTTTTCAAATTCATAGTTATGAGGAGCTACAATGAAATCTGTGGTTATTGATTTAATCGCATATTTGTCATTGATATTAAATATTCTTGCAAATTTGGTGCACTTGACTAATTTTCTTTCATTTGGGGGAAGATCAACTAATTTAGACATTATAGATATTCCACTTTCGATATATCTCTCGATTAAGTTCTTCTATTATGGTGAAGACAAAGGGGGATAGGGGACATTTAAATGGTAAATCCTTAAAGGTTGTGTTTTTTTCGTTGTATAGGAAACTTATAAATTTAAAATATAGCGAACATAGTGAGAAAATAAGCTGAGAAATTATATTAACATATAAGTATATGAAGAAAAAAGAGTCATTACAGAATAAGCAAACGTAAAATATAAGGTATTTCGATATATGTATATGTATATATGTATATTTATATACTAATCTTTAATATTGTTATCCTTCTTCAACCATGCTATTGCTAGTGGGTGTAAACTGTTTACCTTACTTATTGAAATATGAGAATCCTCTTCAAAAGTTACATCACCATTAGTGTAAAGTTCCTGTGATATTGTAAATTTAACATCCTTCTTGTAATCAAGCTTATCAATCAGGCGACCATCCTTTATGTGATAAATATTATCAGGCCATTGAGCTAACCCATCAAATATGTGTGTAGCATATACTACAGAACATTTTCTTGTCTCAGTTTCCATTTTTAAGAAATCTAATAATCTTGCTCTAGCAATAACATCTAAGTCCACCGTCACTTCATCTAAAAGTAAAACTCTCCATGGTTTTAATAAACCCATGACTAATTGAACACGTCTCTTTTGTCCATCACTTAATTGATGCATTCTCCACTCCAAATTAATCTCTAGGATATCACATAACAAATCACCACGTTTTTGGAAATGTTTTAAACCAATACTATCTAGTAATTCCAGAACCCCAATATCTCTATTTATAATATTCATGTGACACCATTCTGTACCTAAATAAGTACTCACTTGAACATCTCCATTAGCTTCGTCATTATTTGGTTGATGCATTGATAATGGGCTGAAGGGATCTAGACCATTTACTTGAATCTTACCATTCAAACATAAATGTTTACCACTTAATAATTTTAACAAAGTAGATTTACCAGCACCATTTGATCCAATTACCAAAGTCCTAGTATTCCAAGGAATTTGCATGGTGACCTCTTTAAGAGCCGCCTCATTCTTACCAGGGAATGTATATGTCAGATCTTCAATCTCTACAGCATACGATGTCACTGTCATTTGTGCGTATATGTGTTTATAATTTGATTGATTTTGTGGAAAATAAAAGAGGGTATGAAGTAAGTATAATTCAATTCAACTTGTATTTATCGCAAAGATATTTCTGTTTTATTTTATATAACAAATTATCCTGATTTTCTTATGGCAGATGAAGTAATATAAGTGTGTAACCCAGAATATCTATAATTTGCTCAAGCTTTGAGGCATCTAAACACTTATAAAACAATCGAATATGGCATCTAAAATGAAAATATAACTTGCCTTAGTTCCTTTCCCTTGAATAAAGTGCGAGTTTGGGGATGATGATGGCATTCCCTTTTGCTTAGCAAAACTTTCCAAGCCAAATTGGTTTTGCTGCTACGGCGATCTTTGGTCTCTTTTGGCAGTTTTGCCCTTTTCTTCTCTCTGTCGGTCGCCCCTTTAAAGAAATTTTTCAGTTCCGCTAACACACACACACACAGTTTATTCCCCTTTGAGCGATGAGATGAGATTGGTTTGTTCACGTGAAAATATGCTGCAATTTCAAGCCAAGTAGATATCCGATTTGCACTTGAGATGGGTAGCCATGGCTGCATTTGTGCATGCATATATATATCTATGTATACTCTATATAATATTCTTTATGTCCTTAAAGGATTCCGATAGTAAACCTGCTACGTCTGTGAACTTGATAGTGTCAAAATTTGGTGTGGAAAAGACATGTGATGACAATTGCATTTTATGATCGCAAGCACCTAACGCTAATGAACATACTCCTATCACTAGTGATGCTTTAATGAGTTTACTATATTTCCATTCTTCGAATAAATCGTTACCACTTGAGCTTTTATGGTTTTCTTTATTCAATGAGATCCCTTTATCAATAAGTTTACCAATATAATTTTGATCAATGATTCGTACTAATTGCATACCACTTCCTGTGTTTCTCAATGGACTAGCTTTATTAATCATCTTGTATATTTTCTTTTGTGTTTCCTTAGCTATCATATAACTAGTACGAGTAGTAGTTAAGACGTTAGCCCATAATTTAGTAGATATGGTGTTATCTTGCATTGATTGTATTAGCACTTTTTGTATAATTCCATGAACTAAATCGGTTTCATTCTCAAAATTTTCCAAATTTTTATCATATTCCTCATATAAGTTTGATTTCACGGCAAGAATCATATTACTATAAATAATTAATGGTGTGTACATAGAATGTGTACAAATCACTAAATCAAATATTTGAAATATGATACAATTATCATCTGAGATATCAGGTTTAAGATCATGAGAAAATATGGTTAATATCGATGCAATGGCGAAAAATGGTTTGATTTTATCTAATTGTAATTTTTGATACAATGTGATATCTTTACTCTTAATTAAAAATGGAATAATATCAATTTGGTCAATTGGGAAATCTAAGGAATCCATTAAAAAGTCTCGTAGATATAATAACGAATATATTTGGATACATTCAGATAGTCGACGTTTAATTTGATGTGATAGCTTCGTCTTGATACTTTTATGTTTCGAGTCGTAACAAAATACTACGAGAAATGTAGAGACGACATCATGATAACCTTGATAATATCTTAATTTAGGGTATGATCTGAAAAAATGGACTATCTCTTCCTTTAAGATTTTTTTCATTGATATTCTTATCTCTTCATTTGAGATATAACCAAATGATCTATTAACATCAAGTTCTATCTGATTCTCATCACAATGTGGTACATTGAGATCATCTGTATTGGTTCTGGGTTGTAACGCTAACTGACTGGTCAGTACTTTATGCCAACTCCTTTGCCGTATTTCATTAGATACAAATCCACATTTGGATTTTCCAAGGTCATATAGCAATGGTACATCATCTGATATCAATGCATGATTAATCACTTTCCATTTTAATTCTTTAATTGTTTTATCATTATAAAAAGAGGGTAGAAATGAAAGACAATCATCTGTAGCGGTATCAGACCCAATAAGCTTGTTTGACCATTCACTTGTTCCTAAACCGATTATAGAGGTCATATTGATAGATTACTTCTACTCTTGTAATTAATTAGAGTGTTGGTATTAATTGATTCGCACACTTTTCTTTCATCTGTGTCTATATAGTTTAAAGCCTAACATATTAACTTGCAGAGATAGTTAACTAAATATTAAAAAAAAATGAAAATGAAAATATACGAGTCGCCCTGAAAATTACATGTGCAGGCTTTCTAATAGTGCTTGTCTGTATAGAAGACATGCAAATAAGCAAATATATACATATCGATACTTTTTTAAACAATAATAGCTTCACCATCTTTCTATTGCACACCCAAAAGACTCCATGCTATCAATTATCGATAATTTGTAAGAGTTTGAAACGCTATTCAATCAGATTACTCAGGAACTGAAATCTTTCACAATCATCTCTTCACAAGCAGAAGAAAACGTACCCCTCTACTTTCTTACCATTGTGTGGAGAACCTACAAGCATGCACATCATATAATGAAGTGTATAAGTTGTAGCAATTAATAGTTTAATCATTTTTGAGGTTCCATTCATCAAAACCGTTCTACTTGAAATTCTTCGCAATTTGTTTTTTTAGAAAAATCATGTAAATTACCGTTTTAGGTAACATACATGAAACATTTGTAATTTAGGTCGAATACAGCAAATTAATAGAAAGCACATAACGATGCTTGCGATGAGATAAATGTTTTTTTCAGACAGTTTTTAATAGATATGAAGTTTGCAACAAATGGTATATAAATTGTACAGTTTTGTTTTATCCTCTTTTTTCATGTGTCTCTGTCAATTTTAGAACTTCTATTAATGCTTGATAAACATAGTGTCCAAGACTTCATCAATTGTTTGCAAGAAGAAGAAAAATGTCATCACTAGTACCACATATAAGTCCTTTGGCCTATAATAGCTCCTATAATCCAGGTGAAAGTTTATTGACTTTCACCTCTATTTATGGTGAAGGTACAGACATTACATTTAATCAAATGCAAGATTTGGTAGACAAAAAGATGAGACAAGCTATTATGTTTGGTGTAAGATGTGGAGCAGCTACCTTGACAATCATTATAATGTGGATGATTTCAAAGAGAAAACATACTCCAATTTTCATTATTAACCAAGTTTCATTAGTACTTATTGTTATTCATTCCGGTCTATACTTCAAATATTTATTGTCATCAATTTCATCGCTTGCATATTCACTAACAGGGTTTCAACAGGTAGTCACAAGATATGATATACATATATATGGTGCTGCATCAATTTTTCAAGTTCTATTGGTTGCCTCGATTGAATTGTCGTTAGTATTCCAAGTAAAAATTATGTTTGCAGGTATCACACAAAAGAAAATTGGTTATCTGGCCCTATTAATATCGAGTTGTTTAGGTATTACTACAGTAGCCGTATATTTCACGACTGCAATTAAAAGTATGATCTCGGTATATCAAGGTGTTAGTAATGATTATTCTAAATATTTCAATATTGCTACCATTTTACTTTCATCATCAATTAATTTCATGACTTTTATCCTTGTCGTAAAATTACTATTTGCTCTAAGATCAAGAAGATTCTTAGGTTTAAAGCAATTTGACAGTTTGCATATTCTACTAATCATGACCTGTCAGTCGTTATTAATTCCATCTATTCTCTTTATTTTGGCTTACAGTTTAGATGCACACAATGGTACAGATGTGTTAACAACTGTTGCTACTTTATTAGTTGTATTGTCCTTACCTCTTTCTTCATTGTGGGCTACTTCGAATAATAATGTTTCAAATTTGAAACCTATGGAGACAGATTACTCCCCTGACGAAGGTAGGTTTTATCCAAACTATAACAACAATAATCATTTTGGAGGTGAAAGTATCAATTCTGATAACAAATATAGTATTAAATCAAAATTACGTTCTTTTTATCCTCAATCAAATAATAAATTTTCATCAGACACTTTAACACATAATTCACTGACTATGGGAGTCTATGATGTTGAAAAGAATGGTTATTCGCCTGAGAGTTCTGTACAGGACAGAAGTTCAAGTGAACAAGAAAGTATAATTTTAAAGGATACTGAAAAAACACCAATAACAGTCAGAGAGAAAACTTTAACCAAACATTTAACCAAGACGACAGAATGTTCATCAGATATTTATACTCCTGATACCCTTGCTGACGAATCAACCCGTAATTTTTGGGTAAATGATAGAAACAACAGCATAGATGGTTAAGTTTACTAACTTTTCATAAATATTTTATTTTCCAAACACATCATTCTTTTCAAATTTGATATTCTTCTTTTTACTTTCGTTTTAATTCTCTTTTTTGCTAACACCTTCATCAATAATATATTTTCAAATTTTTTTGTTTCAATATATATATATATATATATAAATAATATATGCTAAAATGTCTTTGCATTAATCATTTTGAGGAAATTATTTTCTTCTCATATAGTCTGTAACAGAACCATAGAATAACCAGCCACATGCAATATTTACAATATCATGGATGAAGTAAAGGTTTCTGGTACCATATATGACAGAGAAGAATGATAAGTACCCAAGTAGACTAATTGCTATAAACCAGTCGAAAGACTTTTTAGGGAACGTTGGCATGTTGAATGTAGAGTTAGTTGACACCAGTAGTATTGTTGGTGCAACGGCAATAAAATTATGGTGCGATCTAAAAGTTGTCTCATAGTTGATACCAAGATTATGAATAAAAACAATTATGACTGGAATGTTGATTATTGCCACGATTAAAAATAAAATCAAAAGTGAAATGTTGTAATTTTCTAAATTACTATACTCTCTGTTTCGTATACTATTAAATTTACGTTTGTGAAAAACGATACGAACACATGTACCTGCCTGTATTAAAGTCGCAATAATATATATAAGCTGATATGGGACATAGAAAATCACGGCGACAATTAATAAAATGCAGGTTAACATTCTTTTTCTATCAAATAGTTTCTTATGGTTCAAAAATTCGTCATCCTGTTCCATACCAGAGGAGTACATTGCATCTGTCATCCGTATCACAAAATATTTCACCATCTTAATCGCACTAGAAATTATCCAGAGGAAACCCAATGACATTAGCGCAAACAACAATCCGATCCATGCCTGAGCCCAGTTCCGTATACCTAAGAAATATAAATTTGTAAAAAGATTCTTTGAAGATAAAATAAATGGTCTATTAAGTTTCACGGGATCCAAGTAATAAAGAATATGTTGTATCCCGTTGGAATTGGCAATTGGGGTTAGCATTAGGGAGCCCACAAATATAACCAACGAGTATTTATCCAGGATATGGGACAGAGTAAATGAGAAACTCTCGTATTTTCCAGTTTCACTAAAAGAATAGAATTGCATTGCTAGTACTAGCGCGATAAAAAAAATTGGCAGTGACCCAATAGTTAACCTGTACCTTATAAATAACATTTTTATCGTCAATAACCAGTTTATTGATATTTCAAGCTTGATTGATGTTCCTGGCGGTAATAACACGTTTAAATGGAGGCTATGTGGTTCGCTTATATTAACAGGAATGAAAGGTGCTACGTTATGCATATTAACTTCTAAATTGTTATGAGTTATGATATTAACATACCATTTACTTTCTGATGGAGTCGCTATCCATTGTCTTATCATTGGTTGGAATAACAAAGGACCATCCTTTTCTGTGTCAGATTTGATGTTTATAGTATAGGAAAGTAGTGCATCATACTGTTGTAAAAATTCTAAATCACTGAAAATTATTGTTTCATCAGATTTAACAATTTTATGTGTACCATATAATGACATATGTAGTTGAGAGATATCTATTTTCTCGGTTTCAGACATCTTGTTAAAGGATGCGTAAACAAAATCTTCGTCATTGAAGTTCTCATTGTTGATGTTATTAAGTAAGATGAAGTCATACATTGTTAGTTGGTCATGCTTTAGGTGGTAATATGTGAATGGATTATTATCTTCTTCTAAGGATGAATCGGCTGGGTATCTGGTTGTGAAAGTGGACCGAGGAATCTTTAAAATATCTTCGCTTAATGAAATGCAATCTATTTGCATGGAGTTTTTACATAATTTTATTGTGGGTTTTTTACCACTTGTCATTAGAGTGAAATCGAATTTAGCGTTGAGATCCTTTGGAATATAAATAATGTGCGGTTTTCCATTTTCCACGAAACCAGTATTCTTTGTAATTATAAATGGTTTATCGCTTGGTACCATGTTAAAGTTATTTGTACCAATAGTTGATTCCCCTGTATGGTAAACCACGCTGGACTTTTCCGCTATATCATTATTGTAAAATTGTTCAAATCCAGACAGTAGGAATTTTTTTGAGATGTCTATTCTTTCTTTTAAAGGTTTCGTCTTACTTGGAACCGTGCTGTCTACCATTTCGAGTAGGAGTTTAGAAAGAACCAATCTTAGTTGTTTACACCAGACAATGGCTAAATGATCTATTGGTGTCCAGACACCTGGAATTGTAGTTGTGAAAGTTGTGAAACCGTTTTCTAATGGAATCAGATCTTGTACCGCAGCATAGTCTGCTGGTAGAACGTTGTCTTGGACTGCACCAGTTATCGATATCAAGGAAACATTTTTCGAAAAGAATGAATCTTTATTATCAAATTGGTTTCTCCAAAAATCATTGGTTTTCTTATATATTTTGAGAATATCGCCATCGAACGTAACCGGAGCTGCAGCATGGGGCGAAGATAACGTTATTATAGAGTTCACGGAGCCAGAAACATGGTTTTGTAGTGTTGGCATAACTCTTGCTACTATACCACCCATAGAATGTGCAACTATTATAACGGATTCGGGAACAGCATACGATTTTCCATCAATAGACTGTTCATACAAGGACAAAATATATGCTATTGCGTCGTTCAAGTATTCTGCTTGATCTAGCATCGTTTGTCCATGAAATGCAGTAAAATCTTCATTAAAGTCTGCTGTAAAAAAATCGACATTTTGTGTGGTTGGGTTATTAATGGAGTCCTTAGAATCAAAGTACAAGTTAGCACATGCAGATGCGATAGATCTAACTTGCTTAAAGCTACCAGCATTACCTGGTATAAATAATATAGGTACCCCATTTAGTTGAATGTGGTTGTTGTTTATGGGTTCTTGATCTTTGTCTTGTTCTCTATAAAGATATAGGTGATATTTCTGTGCTAATGGTGTAAACTGTTTACTGAAGCCATCAATTCTCGCATATGATGGATACATATATATCGATCGACATTGAGGTACATCAGCACCGGTGAATTCTTTCAGAGACGTTATAGCCGTTACATATAATATCAGTAATAACCCAATTATGGAGATTGTATAATATTTCCTATGAGGTCGTAAATCATTCGACCACTTGTTATTTCTTCTTAATCTCGAAAAATCTTCATTTTGGTTGAATTGTCTATTATTCGAAAGGTCTTGTAGAGCTATATCATTATCGGTTGCAGTTGGTTGGTAACCTTTATTAGAATCACGGAATACATTCCTCCTTAAAGCCGATGAGCTTTGGCGTAACATTGTGGATATGGATCCCAATAATGTCATATTCAAATACCAAATCGATCCAATGAAAATGTACTGGATTGAACAACTTTGGTACTATGTTATTATTATGTGGAAGGTATTATGTCTAACGAACTGAATGGAAAGTTACTTTTGTTGCTTAATGGATTATATTAGAATTTTACTTATTTTACATATCCATAAATTTTGGTGATCCAGTAATTTTTCATTCTGCGGTATAAAGTACAATTCTAATGAAAAAAAAATTGAATAAGACCACATAGACAGCAAAGCAATCTATTACGATATTTCAGTATCATCAGATAATGAAATATATAGTACAAAAGTTTTGTTTGTAATATAAATGTAAATGTGTAAATGTATATGTTTATATGTGTTGTTTGTACATGACTTATAATATTCTGTTTATAGATTATTGATTTGAATTTGAAGAAAAAATATCTTCAATAGTTAAATGTCCTTGACCTTGGAAGTTAATACTTTAAGCAAGGGCTATTAGATATTAATAATAATACAATTATGCTAACATAGCGATTCTTGAAATGAAATGGGGTTTGTAATGGTGTGTCGTAATTTATAACAATAATAACAATAATAAAAAACGGTTAGAAAAAAAATATTCTAATTTTATTCTTGAAATGTTCATGTTGAAGTTCCTTGAGGAACTGATGGGGATTGTGAAGGTATAGGTGTTGATGTTGTCGTATCCATATATTCTTTCTTATTAAAATGTTCTGGTGTTGCCTTTGTGGAAGAGTTTTTACTTGGCGATTTGTTATTTTTCTTCTTTGGTTTAGAATCCTGGTTTGAAGATTGATTGTTTTGAGACTGTGATTGTTGTTGCTGTTGCTGTTGCTGTTGCTGTTGTTGAAGTAATTGCTGTTGCTGTTGCTGTTGCTGCTGTTGGAGTTCTTGTTGTTGCTGTTGTTGCAATACTCTCTGTTGTCTGATTCTGTTTATGTAATCTCTACGATATCTCATTGTAGATTTTCTTAATTGATCATACGATTTACTACCTAACATAGTACCAAATCGAATAACTTGAGTATCATTAGATAATTTGTTTAATCTAGAAGGTTCGTTAGAGAATGGTGTACCATAATCACCTGTTCTTGGTGAATCATACTTCCATTTATCATAAAATCTGGTAAGTTGATCTGATTGAGAATCATATACATCAATAGTAGTGTTTGCATTATTATCTTCTTTTGCTACTGCATCAAAATCTATAAATTCATTTAACATAGATTCTTCATTAGCGACATCAGCACAAGACATATTTGGTTTTCTATCCAAATATTGAATTCCAGCACGACCTACTCTTCTTCTAAATTTAACTGGATATTCTCTTGAATGTAATTCCTTTTGAGAATCAAATGGATTATATTGTTCAACTTTCTTTAAATCTTTATTCAATATATCAGATATTCTGTCACCGTTTTTATCAAATACTTTAACTTCATCAGAAGTACCATTCATAAATTTTTCTAAATTTGGTAAAAAATATGATTTATCAATAACAAATTTAGATGACGCAATAGAAGAAAATGCAGAATCTGAAGAGTTTAATTTTTCAGGTAAATTCATTTCAAAGACAGGATTATATGGATCATCAGTTAAATTAAAGAATGTATTTCCATCTTCTAATTTTCTTTTCTCCATTCTTTCTTGAACAAATCTCTTTGCATTTTTCTCCTTTTCAGATAATAAATTATCAACATCATCTAACTCAATATCAGGAATCTTTGAAAATGGTAATTTAACATAAACATGAGACGAAATACTTGGAGATTGTTGCTGTAACAATTGTTGTTGTTGTTGTTGTTGTTGTTGCTGTTGTTGCTGTTGTTGTTGTAAAAGTAATAATTTTTGTTGTTGTTGCTGTTGTAATAATGCTTCTTCTTTCTTTAGGTTCTTCGTAGATATATCTGATTTACCTCTTTGTAATTGTTGTAATTGTTGCATTTGTTGTTTAGTTAATTTTTCACCTGATTTTAATAATTGTTCTAAATGTTTCTTTAATGCTCTATTCTTAGATGATAATTTCTTATTACCTGTTGTCGAAGATGATCCATTAGCTTGTGCAGCAGCTGCAGCGGCAGCAGCTTTCGTTGCAGCAAGTTCTGCAGCTTCTGCAGCAGCTTTTTCTTTAGCTAATTGAGCAGCAAGAATTTCTTCTTCTTCAATTTGTCTTTTTCTTTCAATTGTCATTATAGTAATCCGTTTCTTTCTATGATTAATTAAATCATCTTCTTCACCTCTAATATTTAAAGTTCTCTTTAATTTTTTAATCTTGAGTCTATCATCAAATACTTCAGTATCCTTCTTCAATAGCAATGAAGAAGTTTGTTCTCTTTTTGCTACTAACAAAGCTAATTCTTTAGCTCTTTTCAATTCTTTATGTAAATTTCTTAATTTTTGACAATTAATAATATCAATTCTTCTTGTCTTTCTTGGATGTCTAACTTCACGTCTTCTGAAACAAACATAAGGATCAATTTCTTCTTTTTCACCAGGTCTTTCAAATTTTAAAGTTGGAAAAATATTACCACCATTTGATTCAATTTTTCTTGTTTTCCAATAATTATAAATTTCGAACCCATAAAGATCAATTAAATTAATTAAAGGTCTTGCCATAATTTGTGATTCAGGATCAAATTGTGTTAAAAATCTTTTACCATCTTTATAATTTAATTCATTTGCTAAAGATGATCTTAAACCATATTCACCTAAATCAATTTTTAATAAAGTTGGTTTAATTTCTTCAAATGATAAAATACTTTCAGGATCAATACTTAAGAAAGGTTGTCTATCTTGAATTGCATTTTCAAATGCATTGCATAAAATTTCAAATTCATCTTCACTTAATTGAATTGCGTTAGAATCATCAGTAATTAATTTTTTATTAAATTGTTCATTTAAAAAAACTTCATCTTTTTCATCCATATTATAATTTGCACCACAACAATCTTCAACTGTTGCAGAAAATTTAATATATGTACTTGGTTCATTAAAATTATTCGAATAAAATTTATCAAATTCTGGCCAATCTGGTAAAACATCCGGAGTTGGAATATATTCTTTTGTTTTACCATTTATTTGACTTGCACCTTTTTGTAAAATTCTATGTAAATGGACTTCTTTTTCTTCATTTTTTTCAACACCTGTTTCAACATCTAATACATCTCTTTGTTGTAATTCTTGTTTATCGAGATTTTTAAGATCTGTTGGTTTATATATCCTTAAATGTTGTTTAACAGATATCTTTCTATGTCTAAATCTTGAACTACCTATTGAATGACGTCCAGTACCATCAATTCCATGATCTTTTACCGTTGACATATTATTATTATTTTCTTCTCACTAATCAAATAATCAATAAATTAAAATAAGATAAAAAGGGTAGGCTAGTCGTACAAAGTTATGTTACGTCTTCCCCTTTGTAACGTTAAATTTTAATCTTATTATGGCGGCAGCGCGTTCTCTCCTAGCAGTGTGGTAAACAACGCTTTTTCGCTTCCCGGGCAGTTGTTATTATTTTGTATGGGGGGTGGGAATAATATATGCAAAAAGTAAAAAAAATAAAAAAAAAGATGCAAAATAGAAGTGGATATAAAATAAAATGCTTTGATTTGGATGCAATATATATAGATATATGATCACTTCTTGGTGTATACCTCCAATATGAGGAGTCGTTGGATTATATAAGTTCTTTCCTCTTATTAAATAAACTGTTATCTTACCGTAAAAAAAAACAATATATACATTATGTAACTTATAGTGTGTGTTGTTTTTATTTAAAATGGATAAAAGCGGGGAGTCCCATAACAACGACGACGACGACGAAAAACAAAAAATTTTCTTTTTTTTTCGTGCCGCTGGCGGTTGGCGGTCGGCGGTTGGCGGGAAGAAGCAATATATGGTGGACGTTCGTGGGCAGTGATGTCGTGTATGACGATGTTCAGGAGTGTATGATATTTAACATGTAGTTTGGGTGTGCAGTTTAAGTATTAGCTTGTAGCACGATGTTATATGATATTCGACTGGATTGGATCGTATTTGTAATTCTATAGTTTTATAAGATAGGCAACAGAAGACGCGGGAGAAGGGCTTCTTTGTTTTTGTTTTTGTTTTTTGCGATGAGCTATATGATCTATTACTAAGTGAAAAAAAAAGGTTGAAATTTTTCAATTCATTTTAACCTATATATAACAAATCATCAATCTAATAAAGTGGTTGGTGAAATATTCGACAGTTTTTAGAATATCTGTAGATAATATTTAGGAGATAACAACACATAGAAAAGATGGAGAATGAATATGATGCATTAGCTAATACAGTACAAAAGACATTAGATAATTTACAAAATAAGAAAGACTTTTTAATTGAACAACAACATCATTATACAATAATTAAAGAACGATTATTAAAATTTAAAGAAAATAATCATGATTCAAATGTGGTTGAAGAGAAAGGTGATATCTTTGGAGATATTATTATTTCACAAAATAAGATTTTTTTAAGTATTGGTTATGAATATTATATTGAAAAGACAGTTGATCAAACTATTGAATTTGTTAATGATAAATTAGAACTAATGATTGAAGCTATTGAACAATTTGATTTAAAGATTAAAGAAGCCAACAATACTTTAAAAAATTTACAAATGTTAACTAATCAAAAAACTCCAAAAATTAAAATGAAAAAAATTGATAATGAAACTGATACTAATGATAATGAGAGTGATTTACCAACTATGGAGATTAGAGAAGAATTAGATGAAGAAGGTAATGTGTTGAATGGATCTGTTGTGCCTGCCGCTACAGAGTCTGAAAGACAAAAAATTGAAGATTTAATTAATAATAATTTAGTACCAAAAGTTGAAGAATTAAAAATTGAACAAAATGGTGAAAAACAAGAAGAAGAAGAAGAAGAAGATAAAACGGTTGTGAATGGTACTAATGAAGTTGATACAGCTGATATATATAGTTTTGCAGATCTAGTAGAAAAAATGGATGAACAAGATGAACAAAATGATGGAATTATTAATCCAAATGAAATTAGTTATGATTATGAAAAGTTTCAATCTTTAAATAATGAAAATGATACATATACAGATGAAGAATATGAAGACGATGATGAAGATAATTATTTTATGATGCCTGGACATTCATCATTTATGGATCAAATTAATAAATTACGAAATTCTAGAGCACAACCAGAAAATGAAACGATAATTGATGTTGTAGAGAAATCACATACAATTAGTAAAAATGAAAGTAATAAAGGAAATGAAAAATCAATTATGAAGAAAAATGAAGAAAGTTCAAATAAGACCAAGAAAAATAAAGTTAAGAAATCTGTTGGTTTTGCTCCATCATTAGATGTTCATGAAGTTGAAAGTTTTAAAGCTGAAACTAAGAAGCAAACTTTTAATTTCCCAAGAAATTCTAGTGATTTATACTCTAGCGTTCAAGATATGATGACTGATGATACAAATAATCCAAATTTACATGAATTTGATAATGATTTATTTGCATCAATGATCGGTGCTAAACAATCGGATGAAATACATGATAAATACAAAGATTCAATAACGTCTAATGAAGAAGGAGTCGAAGCTCAAGCATCACAGGAACAATCTAAAAAAGTACGTGTTTCAAGGTTTAAAAAGGATAGAGGTGTTGTAAACAAGAAACCAACAACTACAGTAGTTGAAGAAGTTATTGAAAAAACAGAAAGTCATAGAGCTGTTTCTGATGTTATTGTTGAACGAGAAATAATAGAAACTATACCTGATTCAAAACCAAAGAAGAGAGTTAGTAAATTTGCACAACGGAAAGAAGCTCAAGCGAAATCACAATTAGAGAAGACTTCTCCCGTTATTAAAAAACAAGATGTTGTATCAGATATAATTGAAAACCCACAACAACAGCCTGAGGTATCTCCTTCCACATCTGTCACTAATGCGAGCATACATTCAAAAAAGATTGGAACCCCTTTCAAGAAAAACCTAAGTTCATTGAATAAACCGAGGCACTCCTTAAATAAGAAAGCACAACTTCCACAGGAGTTACTTGATTCTTCATCTGATTCTGAACAAGAACAAGAAGAGCAGGCCCCAATTGAAAGGGAAATCCCTCAGAAAAAAATCGAAGAAATTGACGACAGTGATGACAATGATGATGATTTAATTTTCCCGAAGGAAGTGAAAGATGCTATAGAAAAAGTGGGTAAGACAGAAGATTCATTGCGTGTTGCTAACGTTGATTATAGTGCTCTGGTAGATAATATGGATGACATGATACAAGCTTACACCTTAGGCGTATATGATGATGATTTAGAGGAACATCCAGGTACTGTGGTGGAAAAAGTTGAGGATTTTAATACATATAACAAAGAAGTTGATGAATTGAAAGATGATATTATTGATTTTAAGAAAAAGAATCCAATGGTTCCAATCAGTCTCGATGATAAGGATGATGAAGATGTAGAAGAAGATAATGGGTTAATAATGACTGATATAGTAGAGAAGGATATACCAGCCAATTACCGTGATATTGCCGAAGAATATGAAAACAACCTTGGATTACATCCAGACAATATAAGTGAAGCAGTAACCAAAGAATACCATACATTAAGACAACGCATGTTGCAACAGATGAAGAACACGGTATTAAATAACAACGCTGATAATAGTGCTAATAATAACGAATCTAACCACATACATTCAGATGGTGATAAACACGGAGAAGATCCAGCTATAGAGCCTTTAGATGTAGATGGTAACCCTATCAGAATCAGCAGGTTTAAATCACAACGGATGAAATTAAATCCATAAAGAAAATGGCAGAGAAGCCACACATTCTACAGTTGGTGCCACCAAAATAGACTTTATTGTTAATTAATAGTAACTCTAAGCAATCGAGATGCATTGAAGAATAAGAAAAGACAAATGATTGTCGTCATCTGTTTGTAAAAATAAGATAGAATATTATACAGTTTATAGAAATACCAAATACAAATAGATAGACTCGATCCTTGTGATTCGGCCCGAAACGTTTATTTAGATATATCATTCGGAACGCACCACCTCCATCGTCACCATTGTGAGCTTGACACATTCCCACCCACCCCTCCCCCCCCCCGATCCCTCATGTACTTTACAAAGAAACTAAACTATCTCCCACTTTAAATGTATTAAATCTGTAAAACGGCAGTCGAAGTGTCAACAAGTCACGTGAAGTAACGACCTGTGGAACCATTTTTCTTAAATTATTATGTATATAGTGCCTTTTGTGACTATCAATTGGAATGTCAATTACCAAAAAAATACAGAGAGCTGTCCGTAGAACAAGTAAATGCTCACACCGTGAGGCGAAAAATGAAATTTTTCAGTTTTTTGCTGTTTGTTTGCATCATCACTGCTCATCAATGTCTCTCTGTTCTGCAATAATGACACACAGAGAGTGTGTGCAATATACAAAATTAAAAGTTTCATTATATTTGCTCTTCTAAGTGACAGAAGAAGTAGATGATCTGGTAATGGTAATTAACTGAAAGAAGAATTGTTGATAACTGTTCGGATTTTATCGTTATTGAAATTGTTTAAGTTGTAGTGATTATAAGTGTGGCCAGGGACATGGAGGTGCGACACCCTATATTCATTACTTCTTTTCTAATTCTTATTTTTCATTATCAGCTTTACTTTTAGTTAGGTGAGTAGATTTTACAAAAAGCATATATATATAACGTGCTCTTTATTTCTTTTTCAGATCGTGAGATATTAAAAGATATATATATATATATATGTCATACTTTACACTTTGATGTAGTCTTCCTCAGAGCAAAAAAGATTATTACAAAAATATTCGTATACATTAGAGGAAAGTTCAACCTTCTCCCTTTAATTTTTTTTAATACTGTACCTACTATTAGTAATAATATTTAATAACGAGCAAATATAATTGAAAATTCTCCTTAATTATTAGAATCTTGATAAAAATGTTATCCGATGGTATAAATAACGGTCATACTAATGAACAAAATGAGGTTAGTGAGGTAAATGGTACATTTGTGGCACAACAACATAATAGTGGTACAAATAGTAACGCTAATGACATAACATCGCCTACAAGTCATTATATTAATATGTTAATAAATGAAACAAAATTGAATTCGCCATCTGGAGATCCTAGATATTTACAATTGGAAAGTTCTTATACGTCAGGGTTCCATTTAAGGGACGAAGTAGATAAGTTTGATTTCGATCATAGTTTAAAAAATTCAATGAATGCCACTAATAATGTTAGCATTGATGAGGTATTTGGGTATTCTTCAAGTGATGAACCTACTGAAGATAATGACCGTCATAGCGGTGATGATGACGATGATGTTGATGTAGATATGGATGGATACGAATCTTTTGATGAACCATATGGTGATATTGACGATTTATTAGTTACGATAGATGAAGTTAAGGGACAAGTCAATCAATGGATAGATAATATAGACAATACGTTGTCAGCTACTCCGGAATATCAACAAAAAGATTATAGAAATGGCAGTCATATACCTAGAGTGATTAAAAATAATGAAACTACGAAATTGATGAACACGATTACAGATATACGAGATATTGTTTTTGAAGAAGACGATAACGACGATTATTATAATCCCGAAGATGCTAAAGTTCAACAGTTAAAGCAATATGGGATAGTTGATATCAGAGAGGCTAATATTCGATTGAAAGATCCTAAAGTGACTAATGATCCATGTTCTAAATTGAATAATTATGGTGTAGTCTTAATGAGATGGCCTGAATCTATTGCACAATTATGGGATGAATATAATAAAATACCCAGTGAATGGTCTCAAGATTATTTAATGTCATTTTTAGTGAATGTACGAAAGATTAATGAAATGGAACATTGTAATATCGATACAGAACTAACATTGATGAGGCAAAGTTCAATTAGAGAATTGGAATCTAAATTTAGTTCTGGTTGGAGGAATGAGGATAAGAATTTTTCGAGACAAATTAATAGACGAAAGAAAATATGGAATGCCATCGAAGATGGTATAGCTGATGGAATTGACGTAGATGATTGTATTAAAGTTCTTACTCAGTACGTTGAAGAGGAAAATAAGGGATTAAGTTTGTATTATAAAGGAGTTCCTTTCAGAATTATTGACAGATTACATAAGATTAAATAGGCATCCGGTATTACCTTTTTTTATAATATATTCATTGTATTATTTTTATTCTCACATTCTTGTTCTATCTTTATATATATAAAGTATTATATCTAAATTGGTAGTTCGTAATAATATATTGCATTAGTAGTATATATATATATCTATATGTAATTTTTTTTTTAAATTTGTTTTATTTTTTTGTTTAATCTTTTCAATTTTAATGTTGGAAAGAATAAAGTTTATATTACATTATTTTATTTATCTTTGTTTGCATTTATCAATGAGGAAGAACATTAAAAGAAAATATATATATTTTCTCCTTTTTTTTCTTTTTTTTTTTGTTTCTTATTTAAGTTTTTTCACAATTAATCGTATAAATCTTCATCCAATCTAGCAGCTGGGTTATTTTCAATGAAATCTAAAGAAACCTTATGACCTAACAATTCTCTAATGTTTTGAACCTTGTATTTAATCATAGTTGGTCTCTCTAAGGATAGACCCCAACCCAATACTCTTAAATCTCTTGGTAAGCCCATGGATTCTAACATTTCTGGTCTAAACATACCAGAATTACCAATTTCAACCCATTTGGCTAAACCTTCATGCCATGAATAAATTTCCATGGAAGGTTCAGTGTAAGGGTTATAGGTTGGTTTAAATCTTAACCCAGTGACACCCATCTTAGCGAAAAATTCTTCCATGAATTGAATTAAATCACCTAGAGTAATGTTATAATCTGCAAGAACACCTTCAACTTGATGGAATTCAGCTAAATGAGTAGCATCGACAGCTTCGTTACGGAAAACACGATCAATTGAGAATAATCTAGTTGGTTTTGGATCTTTAGCTAATTCATGTAGCATTGCTACGGAAATAGCTGTAGTATGAGTTCTTAATACTAATTTTTGAGATTCCTTTGCATGCCAATTGTAACGATAACCGATGGAATCGTATTTACCATTTTCATGTACAGCTTTAATATTATCCATATAAATTTTATCTTCTGGTAGATCTGCAACTAAAGGATCCTTTAAATAGAAAGTATCTTGTAAATCACGAGCAGGATGTTGTTGTGGAACATAAAGAGCATCGAAATTCCAAAACCCTGTTTCAACATATTGATTTGAAGGCATTTCAGTGAAACCCATTGAAAAGAAAATTTGTCTAAATTCTTCTCTAACTTTATTTAATGGATGTAAAGCACCAGATTGAGTTGGAACACCTTGAGAATTGAAATTATAATCTTTGAAAGTCATATCTTTGTAAGTACCATTTAAGACCATATCTGAAGTGATATCAGTTTCTGCTTTAGTAATAGTTAAAGAAAAATCAGAACCTTTTGAAATTTTAAAATCTGTAATTTTTCTTTGTGAAATTAATTTTCTTTTCTTCAAATCAGCTAAAGTCTTTGAATCAATTGAAGAAATATCTTGTTGATTTTCAGAAATTTTTTGTAATAAATCTTTGGTAACATCATCTAGTTGATTTAAATCCATTGATTTAACTTTGTCAGATAATTCTAATTCATTTGAATCATTTTTTTTAATCCAACCATTCTTGAAAGCACGAGCTTGACCAACTTTACCATTGGAACCTAATTTTGAACCAACATCTTTAATTTGTAATTTACCTAAATCTGAAATTAATTTAACTAATAAAATTTCATGAGATCCGTTTTTAATAATTTCTAAACCTTCTTTTGATAAATCGTAATGTAAAGTATCAATATTTTTAAATTCAACTTTATTATGAGCTTGTAAAGAATTTAATGCAGATAAGACTTCTTGAGAAGTCTTTGATGAGAATGTGTTCAAAGAAGATTGAATTTCTCCTAAATCATTCAATTTTTGTAAAATTTCTAATTGAAAATCAGACATTTATCACTATTATTGTAATGGATGATACCCAGTAATCGTTTATAATTTGGATGTTCGTAAAGGATAAAAAAATAGGGAACAATTGAATTATTTGCTTCAACAAATGTATATGTATTGATATGTCAATTCAATATTGTTATATATATATATATATATTATTATATAAATAATTGCAAAATCATTCATCAAGAGTGAGTGAGAGAGAGAGAGAGAAAAGCAATCCCACCACCATTAACGATGTCAAAAGAAACTGAAAAATTTTTTTTTTCAGTTATTTGCTTTTTTTGCCCTTTCCTCACTGAAATTCTTCATTGTGACTGTGCGGTTTGCGTACTTTCACTCTCTCTCTCTCTCTCTCTCTCTCTCTGGGTGCGTGTGAGAAAGAGAGAAGAAAAAAGAATTTTGGCGGGAGCACGTGACATGCACCGGGTAACCATCTTTTTAACTGATTAATTAATTAATAATATCATTAGATTCTTTATTATTTCTTAATCTTTTGCATCTATTAAATGCTAAAGTATGAATAGCAGATTGTGTATGTGAAGCCGGGACATTAATTGAACCTAATCTAACTTTAACTTTATTATTATTTTCAACTTCAATTGGTAAACTTTTAACATCTTGTTCACTAAATAAATCTAATTCAATATTTGCATCTAAGATAATTTCTCTTAATGCAAACCATTTTTTCTCTAGATTCTGTAAAAAATTATATTGTTTTAATAAATTATTTTGTAATTGATATAATGAATCGATTTGATCAGATAATGATAAATTAAATGAATCTTTTTTTGTTTCATTTGATTCAATTTCAATCTTTGGCAATTTATTAATAAATGAATCATTCATTTCAAAAAGATTGTTTTTAAATATTTTTGTCTTAACGATATCGATATCGATTAAATCTAATGTCCGTTTCTTAGAATTTATTATTTCATCATTATCATCACCTTCATCAACTTCGTTATCGTTTTCTTCATCATTATCACTATTTAATTTTGTTGTTATCGTATTATTAACAGGTATATTACCTGGGATATTTTTAATCATTTCATAGTTAATTCTTGAAGTATTATCAATATTTAAAATATGTCTCTTAATATTATTATTATGTGTCCTTTTATGGCTTTTATCTTTATAATAATGTAAATCATTTTTAATTGAATTTATCGTTTTATCAATTTTATAACTTTTAATTGCATTTCTAGCAAATTTTAATTGTTTATCATTATTATATAATGTAGTATATTTATCATCTAATTCTTTATAATTCATTGCTGACCTGTTGTCTTATTTTGCACTTGACTTATCTGTGAGTGTGTGTATATATATTATCAATTAACTCTATTTGTATATATAGTTGAAAAAGCTCCACTCTCTTTTTTACCTTAAACATCAACTAACAAAAAAAAGAAGAAGAAGACGTTATCCACGCTACACGAACCGAATGTCCCGCATGCACGTACACGGGACACACACATGCTCACTGCAGGATCACTCCCCACGACATCACTCCCCACGAAACAACAGCACCTGAAACGGCTGTATTATAATAATCTCTCTAACTATCCAAGCTATCAAGACTCGCCACCACACAAATGAAAACAAATTGAGCAGGAAATTTATCTGTCCGTCTGTCTGTCTTATCTGTAGAATTACCTGTTACGGCCATCTCTCACACAGCAAATGTTGCAGTTGTTCCACCACCACGCGATGTGTCCCGTAGAGAACTGGCGGAGTTTTTTCTCTTTTGCTGCTGAAAGGTCGCGCTGTTGCTGTTGCAGTTGCTCGCTGTGGCGGTGGTTAGCCGTCTGCTGCTGTTATCTTCGCATTCTCTCATTTGATTGGTTGCAGATACAAACAATAGTTATACAATACTACGTACATCCATCCATCTACTAGTACTAAATAGCAGATGTATAGACATGCTAACTAGCATGTCTATATTGCCATAGTATTATATTACATATTTATACATCAATTGTGCAGGGAGTATAATACTAGTACTACAACAAGTTGATATAACGTGTTTTCCTATCGGTTGCAAAAGGAGTCATTGTAATGCGTTCTTGCTTGTTAAACACAATACCGTACATTACAATAATAAGGTGGTGTTGGCTGCAACAATGTGATGTCTTGCATTTTAATATATATATATAGAGAGAGAGAAAGTATGAAAGTTGTTACGTAACAGTATCTAAAAGCTTTTTTTTTCTGCAAATACAGTATATAGATACAGACACACACACACACACATACACACACAGATGTCTTTATTAACATCACAATTTAAAGAACTAGAATCAATTAATAGTTCAACAGTTGATTCAGCAACAAGAACAAATACAAATCAAGATATATTTATGATGATGGATTCACCAATTAATCATAATAATAATAACAATCCATTAAAATCAAATTTTAATAAGAATGATAATTTATTCAATGAATCAATTTCAATATTTAAATTATATAATTTAACAAAGTTAAATTTACCATACAAAGAAAGAATAATTAATATGACGATTAGATTACAAAAGAAACTCTATTTAGAAAATGAAAATATTTTACAATTATTAAAATATATTGATACAAATAATAATAACGATGAATTTCTACATAATGAACATGTTCCATTTTCTTCATCACACCATAATCAAAATCTTCTACTAAGTGAAGATGACGAAGATGAAGATATATATCCTGATGCTTCTGATACACCTTATGGATCTTTTACAAATGATTACGATTTAAATACAACAACTCAGAATTTAATTACAAGTAATAATAATTTTGTTATGCCAAGACCAATACCGTCAAATTCATTTAATAATAATGAATTTATTTCTTTTAATAAAATGAATAATAATACAAATACATCAAATTTAATTAATATGAATTTTAGTTTAATGAATGATGATTTAGATTCATTTCAAAACAATTCTTCAACGTCATTATCACAATTTCATTATTTAGATGATAATAACTCAAATCAATTAGATATAAATAATTCAAATTGGGGTGAAATTTCTAATTCTTTGCCAAATTTTGCAACTCCTTTACAATTTCAAAATAATAATAATAATAGTAGTAGTAATAGTAATAATTTAAATTCAACAATGACTCCACAACAAATGATTACTCCATCAAGAACTCCATCATATCCATCAATTCCATTAGTATCAACGGCAATTATTTCAAAAAGACAACAACCTAAAAAAATTAGAAGAAAAAATAGTAATTGTGGAAATTCACCAGATAATAAAACTACGAAATGTAATAATTGTCAAACTTTTACAACTCCTTTATGGAGAAAAGATTCTCAAGGTAATTCTTTATGTAATGCTTGTGGTTTATTTTTAAAATTACATGGTGTAATGAGACCACTGTCATTAAAGACAGATGTTATTAAAAAGAGGCAAAGAAATGGTTCAACAAAGAGAACAAATCAAAATTCACAACAATTATTACAACAACCTCAAGTGAAAAATGATCATGAGAATTTAGAATGGTTGTCAATAAAATTATAGATTTAAATATATATATATATNATATATATATATATATATATATATATATTAGTAAAGGAAATATTCTTTTTTTTAATAGTATCACTAGTTGACATATTACGAGAAATATATTTATTTCTTGTCTTAAATAGTTATATTTTACGGCGCGCGACGATATTTAAAGATACGAAAAAGAAAAAAAATAATTCATTTAATATAAAGAAATAGATTTTTATTTTTTAGCTGATACAATACTACACATAGAAAGACATACATAGATTCAACAAGCCAACAACATATATACACAATGGTATCAACTCCAGAATTAAAGAAATACATGGATAAGAAAATTATTATTCAATTAAATGGAACTAAAAAAATAGCAGGTGTCCTTCGAGGTTATGATATATTCCTTAATATAGTGGTAGATGATGCTATTGAAATAGTATCACCAAAGGATAGCATTCCCCTTGGTGTACAAACAGTAATTAGGGGGAATTCCATACGATCAATAGAAGCCTTAGATACGGTAGTATAGATTTATATCTTTGTCTCCTTCTATTACGTGTGTATATATTCATATATATATGTGTGTGTGTGTATGTATGTAATGCCCTTTAAAATAATGCATCTTTTATCAGTTTTGGAAACATCTCAGCCAAAAATACTTAATATCTAATTTGCATTTCAATTCCAGCTTCTTTATAATCACATTTTTCATAAAACCCAACGTTTTTAACATCACAATCTAAAATTGTCTTATAACAACCTAATTGTTTGCCTACTGAGCTTAGGTAATCTATTAAAATTTTACCAAGTTTTTGTCCACGAAAATCACTATTCACTGCAATATCTTCAATATGACCAACTAAACCTCCATTATGTATAATTTTCTTTTCAATAAATATTGTACCAATTGCTGCAACTCTTTCTGTATCCTTTACAGTAATAACAAATGTATTATAGGCTTGTTCACCTGTTGGTAATAATACAGAATCCCAATAATTTAAAATCGAATCAAATTCCTTTTGACTAATCTCACCAACTATAGTTAAACCAGCTAATGCCGTCTTAGCTCCTTCAAAATCCCTGGATTCAATTCTTCTTACAGTATAGTCGTTTGGGATGGTTGTAGCGGTCATTGATAGGTTGTATGTTTGGATGATCACAAAGTTAAAGGGTACTAACGTAATAGATTAAGTAACAAGATATATAAAACGATACAGGGAGTATGTATTTGGTTCTTTATACAATGTCTACCTTTGTATTTAAACTAGTCAAAAAAATAAAATTGTCAGGGGAAAAAAAAGGCATAATAAGGCAAATTAGAAACTGGATTGTTTTTCACATTTCGGATTTTGACATCATATGCAATAAATGCAATATATAAAAATAACAGCACAAATGTTTGGTATTAAAAGGTTCAATTAATATAAAATACTTTAAAGTTCCAGTGTTTGTATCCTGATTATTTAATTTCTATTCTTGTTTTTGTTTTTTTCATTATAATACAAAATGAATTATTTTAGTGGCTAAATATACAAGATATAACATTAATTGAAAGAAACAAGAATATATTATATTCAGCATTATCATCTATAATTGCTAATAATCATTACTAACTCTTAGATTTGTTTTGAATTAAAAGGTTATGTTTTGAAGCTTTAGATTAAAATAAAAAAAAATCCAGCCATAAAAAATGACAAAAATAAATAGCCCTGTAGGGGGCTCGAACCCCTAACCTTGTGATTAAGAGTCACACGCGCTACCGATTGCGCCAACAAGGCCTAATTTATTGTTTTTTCGGTTAAATATTTGTATACAAGAACTACATAAATTTTTAATTGTTGGTGTATATTTGATAATTTTGGATTTTAATAGTGTGTTGAACTCATATTTTTGAATCTTATTATTAAGTAAAGTACAATAATTGAATTAAAATATTATCAATTTATAAAGACCCTCCACTTAAGAACTATCATCATAAGTTAAATATTGATTAATTATACATGAATAATAAATGGCTATGTTGGAAATATCAGATGTATGGCTCTGTAGCTATATTTCCCATACTATGTGATGTTTACGGTGTTTGGGTATGGTTGGATTTAAGTTCTAAGCTCTGGGTATGCAAATGAAATAAAAACTCAAAAAATATATATAAGAAGTGTTTAGTTCAGCAAGAACAAGTACTGTCAGAAACTAAGGGTAACCTATAGTAGCACTTGTCCAAAAATATTGAAAAGAAATAATTGACAATGTCAGATTTAACAAAACAATAGTAAAATTATAAAGCCCAGCACAAAATATGAAATCAAAATAGACCAGTCATTTGTGTACGAGAATTGTTCAAAGGAGAATGAAATATCTACCTCATATTCTCTACAAGTACTTTAATTAACCCTGTCATTGGGGGAACCCAAAATTATCAAGACTAAAATAAGAAGGCATTCCAAATGTTGTTCAGATGTAATTGTAAAACGAGTGTAAGTGATGGATTTTCAATCCTTGACACATAGTTGAATCTTACAATCGTGGCTTTTTGATAACAGATCATCGATAAATAAGACTCTTATTATTCATTATATCCTAAAGTATCCATTCTAGTAAATCAGAAATAATACATTCGATGACGAAATAAATAAAGTCCAATTACTTTACCGGTATATTCTTCTGTACCATTAAAAAAATCCACTTAAAAAAGAATCTAGTTGTAACCTTCTGTCACTAAATCTACCATATTCCTCAATAAACTAAATTTAGTATATTGAACAATAGTCATGAGTTCACAATATATATATATATATATATATATATATAT